TTTAACATAAATCTAAATTTAAATAATTGTATGAGTTTATAATAACTATTTTAATTTTTTTTTTAAATTATATGATTGAATGTGATTGTAAAAGTTTTTCGATTAAGACTATTCATATTGGATCGCTAAGTTAACCAACCTGATTTTTGCAAGCTACGATGATGTGCTCCTGGCTGCGTGGGGAGCACGGCTCCGTGATGAGCATGTCCCTGGGGACCGAGGGCACCCGGCACGTGGTCAGCAGACGGTAGAACTGCGTCATGCACAGCGGCTGGCCCTTCTCGCGGCTCGTCGCCCTCTCTTGGGCAATTCCTCCGCTGAAATTAATTCAATCGTGAAAAATTTATTTACAAAAATTGAGTAATTCTGACTGGTCGAGGACTTCCTTGTGCTTGAGGAGTCCGGTGGCGAGCCGGGCGGCGAGCGCGCACTGTTCGGCTAAGGTCATCGGACTGCGAGGCGGCAGCACCATTCCGGGGTTGGAGTTGACCGGAAGGGCCAACGTGTTGCCCAGGTACATGTCGTTCAGCCACCACTCGTACGCCTGAATAATGGGAGAAATCATTAATTTTCATGTTAAATATTGATTATAGCAAATTCCAAATTTTACAGGCTAAATATTTTTCTAATTTAGTGAAGTTTATGATTTTTATTTGAAAAAATTTAAAAGATTTATAAATTATTGATAACATAATAAGGCAAAAACAACATCCATGATCTTATTGGTTGTTGAAACTGTTAACTCAATATTAAGAAATTTAGAAGGATAGAAAGAATTTTCAAATTTAAATTTAAAATGCACTAAATAAATAAATACTAAGTGGTTGAAATTTATTTAATGGAATGATTAACAAATCATTTCTGGCAGAATCTGAATTTTCCATTAGAAGTTTGGTTTTAATTTTTTTAGAAATTAATAAAAAATTACTTATTGAATCAAATTGAATTTCCAATTTCACGTTATTTAAATTAATTTATTTTGAGCCATCCACAATTCTGCACTATTTTAGTTTCTCATTAGATTTATTTTAAAATTTGAAAGATTATTGTATAGCAAAGGAGGATTTTTTCAACTCTGAAGTGTCCGTCTCGCGCGCAATGAAGTGCCCCTCTGAAGTTAATTGATGGAAATGAAGCGGCCCATTTGCGCGATTAGGCCAATTGGTGGGTGGGCTGTCCTTTAGGCAGCCGCGTCTGGGTGTTTTTCGGAGCCGGGCAGGTTGCCTGCCTGCTTTAGGCGGGCTTAGGGCGGCGACCGAGGGCGGGTGGCGCTGATCATTGGTCGGGCGCCGGCGCCTCCGACACGTTCTCCGCCGCGGAGATTTTACTCCCTCGCTCTGTGTCCTGGTTTGCACGATCAATCGGCCCACACACCCACGCAAACGGGCACAAACCGGCGAATTTTATTCGCCCAATCGATTTCGTGCCTAATTTTATATTCACCCCATTGTTCCTGCCCACCAACACCGAATTAGAATTGTTGAATGGGGCGCACCTTTTGTGCACACGGACACTGTTTACGTAAATTGTCTGAATTTTTAATTTCGCCTTTTTTTGCTGCGTGGCGGAAAATGATTTTAATTTCACCGGATTTATATCAAAAATTTATTTAATGTGAAATAAATTTTTTAATTTTATTTTGAAACCATTCAACTGGAAAATTCTTACCTAATTTTATCCATTTATTTTCTGTCTAATTTACCAGATTGAATTAAATAAAAGGCAATAAGGAGTGTCGGGGTAAACTCGGCACTTCTTCCAGCGGCAGGTGAGAGTTTGTGAAGAAATGTTTTCAAGATTTTGAGAAATGTTATGAATTCAAAATTTATCAGAAATCAGAATAGGGGTTGAATTTTTCTAACGCCCGGTTTTTTTAGTGGTTTTTAACACCCCATTTAAAACAATCTCTTGCAGGTCAAACTGTAAAAATTCCATTTTTGATGAATATTAAAAAGTTATTTTATACAAAACAAATTTCAATCAAATAATTCAAATTTAACATTATTTATATTAAAATAGTCCATTTGAAATTTATATAATTTAGGACCGTCTTGCCTATTTCTTTTTTACAATTTGTATTGTAACTTGATCAAAATACAACACGAGATAATGGCATGAATAAATGTTCAAAACTCTAAACTTATTTTTATGTATTATGTTGGCTAGATTTTATTTGTTATGGTTTCTGTATGCCTTATTATTAGTTTAGCTAAAACATTGAATTTTAAATCAGAGATTAATTTTTGCCAAGGGTTCTTTTGCAATTACATAAAATCTGTTCTGTTAATTTTGATCAATATTAAATTTTATAACAAATTTTGACTATCGACCAACCAACTTAATAATTCAAAAGAGTTGCAAATCTATTACTTTACTCATAGTTAACTCCTTATTATAATGAGCAAAATGAAGAATGAGAATAACGCTTTAAAGTTAATAGTAACTTTTTATCATAATTGTAGATATCCGAAAATAAAGAAAATTAAATAATATTTTCGGCCCAGAAAATGACAGAAAGACTGTCAAATGATTCTGAGAACCTGATTTTTGTATATAATTAAATGATCAAATTTTGATATTACTAGAGGAATTATGTAACACTTTGAGAAGTTTCTAGTGAAGCAGAATAATTTTTGAAAATCGTTATATACTCATAAAAAAAATAATTTACCCAGTTGTCATGGTTTTGGTGCCGCTCCAGCAGCAGCTTTTGAAGTCGAGGCGCCTCGTTGTTCTGGAAGCTTAGCACACATCGCCTGGTCTTATCGTAGTCGGCGTCCTTCAAGATGACCCTGGCAAACTGCAGGTACTTTGTCAGGGTCTGCTCCACGTTCGGCACGGGCAATTTCGGCAAATCGGCGCCCTGAGTGAGTGCCAAAAAGTAGACGTTAAAAGATGGAAACATAAAAATTAATCATTATTTGAAAGAGATGAAATTGAAACATGCAAATTTTAGCTCCAATATTATTTGAAAATGAAAACGTTGAATTATTTTACAAACTTAATAAAGCACGCACAGTCAATAAAGCGATCGGCATAATTGTTCCTCTGATTGAAAGAAGCGCCAAGTGACCTACTTATCACCGATTCACTAATGAATGCCAAAACTTTTGCTTCACGTTTTCGATTATCTTTTGCAATCTTTATTAACATTTTAATGTATACAATTAAATGAAAGTTTTATTTAAATTTTGAATTTTCAATGAAATATAAAAAGTTGAAAAGGTCGCCTTCAGGCCATATTTAATTCATACACTGGATGATAATTATGAATGAATTAACGCAGGGCAATGGGAAGCCGCAATCGCTATTCGTGACGGCGACAAACTACCTCTTCAAACGCGACGAAATAATTAATATTTCAGCGCGATACGAGGGGAGGGGGAGGAGAAAGCGGGGGCTGAAGAGCATCTGCCGGCGCCGCGTGCTCTTTCTCTGCCGCACTCTAATTGCGTAATGCCATCAATTGGTGCGACCAAACAAAGCGTGAAGAGTGGTAGAACGTAGATAAAATTCCAATTTTATTGTTTTCGTTTGCATCAAAAACTTATTGGTATCATCTCGAGAAGTAATTATAAAAAATTTTAATTTAAAATTTTTCGCTGCAAAAATTTAATTGAATTCAAAAATTGAAATACAAATATGTTACCAGTTTACAGTTTTTAAAATGATACGAAAATATTAAAGGGAAGTCATTATCAGATTTGTTGATAAAGTTATTAAAATTTCGCGATTCAGAAAAATTATTTCCGAAATTTGTGTCAAATTGATGAAAGAAATAATGCATAATAGATTTATTAATTATAACTCTTACATCGTGACGGAACCTGTAATTCAAATAAATATCAATAATAATAATTGAGTTATCAAAATTAAAAATCAAAATTTTTTCTAATAATTGGTAATTAAAGTTTTGACTTTCATATTATAATTTTTTTTTTTTTTTTTTTTTTTTTTTTTTTTTTTTTTTAGGGTCAGGCCAAGACAAAGTCTTGTCGGCCTGTGCCCTTTATTGGTGGTACAGAAGGCACCACCCAATTAATTGAATTGTCTCATTAATGCCGGCTAGAGATTTGCGAGATTATGAAAAAATAAATTGTGAATGAGACCCCAGGTAGGTCGTAAATTCAAGCAGGAGCATGTGTGAATGTTTTATTTTTGGCTAAGCCTGGCTTGATCGATTTTCCAGCGTTGCCCTCTGACGTCAGTGGGCATCAAAGTATTGATCGCGGTGCCCTTGCCGGCTGCACGCCAGCGCCTCTGCAAGTGACCTGGCCAAGCTCGCACCCCTCAGTCACAAGCGAGAGAGCGTTTTCCCTCTAGCTGTGCAGGCGACGAGCCGATCCAAGGGATGCCAGCGAGATAAGCTTGCACACGAAAACTCTCTCGAGCCGCATACGGAATAAAAAAAAAGCACCGCGCCGAGAAGAAGTGGAAAATACGAGAAAGAAAACCTGACACGCGAAGACTCGCTCAATTTCTCTTAGGGAAAACCCAGCAGAAATGAAATTATACTTACGTGACCCAAAATATTTTTGAAATATTTTTTATTTATTTAAAATAAAATAATAAACTAAACTATTTAAATCTTAATTAATAAACATTCAAAATATTTTGTTAAGGTTAAAAGTTTTGACAAAGTTTCAATTGAAAAATTTAGTAGAGTTAAAGACCAGAATTTAGACATTATTTAATGTCATTAAAAAATATTTGGGCATGTTCATGTGATTATTAGGATAATAAAATAAAATTATAGAATAAAACACAAATTAGAAGAAAATAGGATTTTGAGACAATTACCTCTGCAAAGACGCCGGTGCCTTCGTTTGATGAAAAGGCAGAATTTTCCTTTCCAGGTGCCGTGGCGAAGAGCCTTTTTGGTAAACTCCATATTGCATCCTTCCATCCTGAATGAAAGATTCAATTTCGTTTTTTTTTTACTATTATTATTTTACTTTCAAATGAAACAATGCTGAACAATTTTCGTTTTTTCCTCTCGTTTATTTACATTTACATTTTATGCAACTTTCCACCGAACCCTCCATCAATGTAAATTTAAATTCGGCATTCGCCTCACGCCCGTCACTTTTCTGCCTCGTAATCGAATTTTCTCTAATCGCCCAGATACACAATCTGTTTATTGCTTTCGTGTGGTTTATTCCTTTTCTCTAAAAACTAAATCGCAAATAATCAATTTTGACGGGATATTGATCGGTTTATTTACACATGAATCGAACACAAATTAACTTGGAATTTTAATATTATTATAAAAGAAGAGAAAATGTTTGTATAACTCACTCTTGTTTAACAGTAACAGTTTAACCTCACTGCGCACTGAGCAATTTTCTTTCTCTTCACACTCCGGCTCAATCAGCATCCTTTTTTTTAAGCATTTTTCCACTTTTATTTTTTTTAACGCTTCGTTTATACACACAGCAATTTGACTTTCTACAAATGATATCGATACACAGTTTAGTGATTTTCTTACTGTTCTCAGATACAGTGCGTTTAGACATGTAGATTAGGAGAGAGTATACACAGTGGCAAAGACATTCTCGAAATTATTACGAAAGTCTCAACATCACATCGACGGCTAGGATTTGAAATTATGAAAATGCTTTTGCCAGCTTATTTTTAATTTACATACGGGCTCATTAACATTAAAACGCACATCCACTCGAATGAAAAATTAAATTTGGGGAAAAAAATCCCGCAAGCATTCAAAAGGCAGCGTTTTCATGCACACCGGTCTATAATTATTGATGCGTAATTCGTTAACAGTGCGGTTTCGTTTCACATTTGTTCCTTAATTCCTCTCAAACACGCTGCATTTTAATTAATTTTATTTTCATTCGAACACTTTGATTAATTTACAACTTTATCTGACATTTTTGCGAGTATGGTTATTATAACGTTTTTACTTTTTTTAACACTTTCTTACCTCTGAAGTTATTTATCAAACTCTCGCAAGTTTGGTCATCGAAATTGATTATATCTTTTGTGTTCTTCCTATTCCTACCACTTAATTTACAGTCTCTAGTATGTTTCGCAATTTTCCACGAGAGAAGTTTACATGTGCGACTCTTTACAACTACATTTCGCGTCCACTGAAGTGGATGCTTGATATGTTTATGATCTTGGTTGATTCACCGCGACGGTTTTGAAACCGAAGACAATCATATTTAATTCTAACTGGCATTATTTTTCGCACTGAACGAACACCATTTGAATTCACCATCAAACTATGCCAGATATAGTTATCACAGAATTATAACAATTGAAAATATACATATTATATGCTTGTTCGTAGATCGTTCAGTATTTCATTCAACGTCTTCTATATAGATATGTGTTTTACGTAACTGGCGCGAGTCCGCTATATAGATGCGACCCGCTAATTCTGCGCAACAATCAATTAATAATTGAAACAGAATTTTTCCAGTAGGCCAACAAAACAAATTAATTTAAGTAGTTTGCTAGTTCCCAAAATCTATTTATAACTAAAAATCTCAAATTTGTAAATTTAACGCATTAATTTAAATTACTACTAAAATCCTCAAGGGGAAAAAATAATAATAATAATTCATATGCTCATTTGGAATAATATTTTATAATATTGTTATACTTGAAATAAGTGAAAAGTTATTAAACAATTAGAATTATCAAGCTTCTTTAATCTCTAGCAAAGGTGATAAACAATTTTTGGAAATTTTAAATTCCTTATTAGAGCACTGCTCTTATTCAATGGCAGTGCTGAATATATGATATATAATATTTCATTCAATTCGGTTAAATATTATTATATATATTTTATCAACTTTTCTAATTTGCTCTTTAAAATCAGTTCATTTCGTGAAACAATAGTATAATTATTTTCCATATCAGTGGGACACTTGCGTGTACATAATGACTTATGAAATCACACCCATACGTTCAGACGCAAGATAGAAACACAAAGTAAAAATTTTGATGAAAAAATTCTGGAAACAACCATATTTTAATTAGGAGTTAGGAGATTTAATAGTTGAAACCCTGTCTGAATGGGTTTTTGTTGGCCGACTCCAATGCCGGCGGTTCACTTACCGCGGCGCTGCGGAAGGGATTCGTGTCCCTTGAGGGCTGCGGGGGCTGCACTGGAGGCGGCGGTCGTTGCTGGTACTGCGGTTGCGGAGGAAGCGGCTGTTGGTAGCCCTGCTGTTGGTGCTGGTAAGAGTCGTAGTCAACGTTCGTCTCCTGGTAGCGAGGGTATTCGGCGGTGTGGTTGGAGGTGAGATCTGGAGCGACCTCGACTGCGCTTTCCTGCATCGCGTACGTCTGGTACTTTTTGTCTGGCGGGTCGGCCATCAAGATGTTGGCCTCGTTGGGGAACGGTTTGAAGTCGTAGATGTTCTTGAGGTAGAGAAGCACCGGCGCGTACAGCAGATTGGCGAACGCTATACCGAAATTGAGCGCCGTGAAACCGATGGCCTCGACCACGCTGCCGGCGATGATGGGCCCGACGGCGTAGGCCAGCGAGTACGAGATGTCGGCGATGGCGTAGATGCTTCCGTAGACCGAGACGTAACGCACGTCGACCAGGTAGCCCAAGGTTGGCAGCAGAGCTGTATCGATGAGGGCGATGCCGAAGCAGATACCGCAAATCGGGATCATCAGCATGATATATGAGGTGCTGAACGGGATAATGAAGCAGCACAGGCCCTCCATGACCAGCCCGATGGCGGCCATCAGCCACTGGTGTTGCGGGTACTGTCGCGCCATCTTGACGGTGATTATGACGCCGATGACGTGTGGGAAGAAAGCCGGAAGCCAGATCATGCCGATCTTCCAGTTTTCTTGAGTCATGTTGTCCTCCATCCACAAGGAGATGGTGGGTTCCAAGAAGGCCAAGGCCACGTTGGACATCATGAGGGCGCCTGCGCAGACGGCGATGTACGGGTCGATGAAGAGCCGCCAGATGGGGATGGTGGGACCCGTCCGCTCCCTCTGGCTGTCCTTGATCTGCTCCTTGATGGGTTTCATGACCAGCAAGAGGCCTAAGCCGTCGGCCAGCGAGACGAAGGCCAGAATGAGGAAGGGCATCTCCTTGCCCGCAAACTGGTACAACGCGCCGCCGAAGGGAGGCGCCACTAGGCAACCGAAGGAGATGAACGCGAGTGCTATGCCCAGGGCCTTGGAGCGTTCGGCCTCCTCGGTGAAGCGGTCGGCGATCATGGCAAGGCCAGCAGTGTCGGCAAACGCCGAGCCCACGCCCTGCAGACTGCGGGCGAAGAAGAGGACCCCGTAGCTTCGGCCGCACGCGAACACGGCCGTGCTCAGGAACATTATGGTCAGACCGATCATCATGGGGATGTCGTAGCCGATCCTGTCGATCAGGGCCCCCGAAAAAGGGTTCACCATCAGCTGGACGATGGCCTTGGACGCGAACAGGATGCCAGTCGCCTGGTCTTGGCCCTCGTGCCCATGCCCTGGAACGAGAGTGCCATTCTTGTCTAAAACCGGGGGCGGCGTCCCGAAAGCGCCCGTGTACCGCAGGTAGTCCGGGATGATGGGCACGATGACCATGTAGAGCATGTTGTCCAGCAGCAAGGCGATGGACACAATCACCAGGATGATTCTTCGCTGGTTTTTCGGCTCCCGAATCTTGGCCCACGCCACCTCCTTGAACTCATTCCACTCCATGTTTATGAAAGGGATCTGCCGCGCCATTTTGCTCGCGAGTCGGTCCTGAGGTGAGCTAACTCTAATTCACTTTATTTCTTCCCCCTCCGCGCGGCCTGGCTTAAAAACTTCTCAGGCACCTTCGAACAGACAGAAAAAAACATAATTAGCCTAATGAGATCATAATTCTAATTAGAGGGATTGCTGCACGTTCAGGACAGACTCGCGAACACTTTACCAACTCCTTCGTGGGGATTGCAAATTCAAGTAAAGGTGGAGGAGTTGAAGTCTCCTGAATTTTTAATGCAACCATCGACCGCTTCACAACCCCTCCAATGTTATATAATGATATAATTTTTTTCGAGAAGATATTGAGGAAAAAACGAAATTTGAGAAGAGGTTTTGTCAGGGCTCACCTGTGTCAGGCAAAGTGGAAGGCAGGCGATTGGAGATGAAGCTGCGCAGGTTGGAGGCCGTAGCGGCGGTGCTGTTGCCGAACTTGTCGGTTAGATACGCCAGCGAGCTGGAGTGTGAGGCGCCATCAGTGCCCCTTTGCTCTTCCGAGTCTGCCGTCTTAAGGGTTACGAATTTCCAGTCGCTGAACGTTTCTTCTCTCTGTGCGCGCTTTGGAGGCCTGCCTGCAGCCTGCTCGCGATGCTGCCAGCGCTCGACTTGGTCTCGGCTCGTCCTGCCTGCCCGACCAGTGCCCTCGGTGCCGCACGCACGCGCCCTCTCGTCCAGGTGTGCCGGCGCCGATGAGAAGATATTTTCACGTTTTTCTTTTTTTAAAAAATTATGTGGGGGTATAATGAAAAGAAGCATATTAATACAAAGGGTTCGATCTTAAGACTTGCTTGATAAAAAGGGGTAGGAGAGGCGAAGAACTGCAATGAACGGCAATTGACTTGTACGCGGCGCTCTCACTCCATGGTGCTCTCCATTCACGTAGGTTCAGAATGGGGATTTGAATTTTTGCTCTTATTCCATTTGTAGCGTACAACTTACTCAGAAGAAATTTAAAATTTAAATTTATTTAAATATTAAAATAATTTCAATCGTTTCTTACAATTCTTTATTTAATAATTGAACAAATGATTCGGCGTAAAAAAAATCATTAATTTTTCTTTAACAATTTTAACAGCCAAATTTTTAGTAAAATATTTGTCTCATAATAATTTTTATTTTCATTTTTCTACCTCCAAATTTTTATTTCCAACGAATTTTTGTCTTAAGAAATGCAGCCAATCAAAACTTTTTTACTCTTGTCAATCCCCTACAGCTTATTTTATTTCCAACAGCGCTTGCATGTGTCTCTATTTGCAAGCCCGTTTAAGCAACGCAAACGGCTGTGGTTGATTTGTATGTTCAGCGTAATTCGGCGGCTTTTCTCTCCTCTCTGCAGCGTGCTGGAATGGTATATACGAGGGGTGCGAGAGGGATGCTGACTGGGAACGGGCACACGAGGGAGCATCGCACACGCGCCGTGCGGTCGCGCTGACTTGGGCATCGTCTCCGCCGGGTCAAATATTGAATTTTCTGACTGGCAAACCTCCTCTAGCTGCCGGTTGTGCCCACCGCCGAGCGCAAAATCGATCTCGCCGCTTTACGAGAAGGAGGAAGGAACTGCTGACTGATGAGCCTGGCCGCGATCTCGTGTGAATTGGGCAAAGGAAAATAAAACTTGTTACTCAATCCAATATTCACGCCACACCTGCTCTAAGGCATTCAACTTCAAATTTAAAAGCGTATTAGGAATTTAACAAATAAAATTTATTATTAATGTGTACTTAAACATATTTGCATTTTTTCTGAAATTATGTTTTATTCATCAAGAGAGAAAATGACATTAACTTTAATTCCTCAATTGTTAAAGAAATGTCAATTTTTTGCCATTGCCTTAAATCCTCCTTCAGCCCAGGTTTTTAATGACACTTCAAAAGTTAAAATACACAGCATATTTGCTTTCATAAATAATAAAAATAGTAGAAATTTTTATTTAAAAAAATTGTTGAATAATATTCTAACAATGAGTGTAAATTATATTAATGTATGTAGTATTTCACAATAATTTATACGAAAAAAAAAAACAAATTTAAGAAATCTTGCAATTTGAACTTATTCATCCCACATTTTTTTAGCATTTTAATTAAATTATTGGGTCCAGCGTCAGTTTTTTCCGGGCTAAAGTCAATTATAAAAAATTTCACTTTTAAAGGTTGGCAGTTTTGGTAACATCCAGAATCTCGGCGGTGGTAAAGCGTGGTGGAAGTTGGCAGAACTGAGCGCTGACTGGGTCAGCAGGTGACCTGCCCTATTGATTTTTGCCACCCAACGGCGGAGTGCGTGTTTTCCGCCTTGGCATTAAAGAAACTATATTTATACGCACGCCGGCGCTTCGTCGAGAGGCGTAGAATGAAACAAGGCTTCAGTTGTTTTTCTAAACGGCTAAACATCAGTTTTATTTTGCATTTATTTCCTCCCTACAAGTAAATAACAACAACGGATGTATATATTCCCTCCATTCATATTAATCATTTTTGGTAACTCGATGAATTAAAAAATGTTTTGAAAACAAAAAATAAATCAACCGGTTGGAGAAAGTCCACAATTTACGATGGAGTAATACATATCACATAATTCTTCAATGTGCTGAAATCAAATCAATTTTATGAACTGAGAAATGGCAAAACGGCGGCAAAACCTTCTATATCTTCAAATGCATTGGCCAAAAATATACATAACTTACTCCAACTTGAAGCGTCTAAATTGAAAACATTAAATATGTGACCAGCACATCTTAAAACCAGAGGAATTATTAATAACGAGGAAAATTGTTTCTGATACATAGACAACCCCGCATATTATTCGATTGTCTACATATGTTACTTTCCTACATAGACTAAATATTTTTTGTTTCAGTTTGGTCTGGGTCTTAGTGATGGAAATTAATGAACCAAACAAACCAGTGAGGAGTCTAGAAAACGAAAATTATATTCTGAACACTGCAAGTTTGAAAATGGGGCTGGACTTCTGCTGCTTTAATTATTTAAACATTTAGACATCAAACCAACACTGCAGCCGGTTGGCTTGAAAGAAATTATTCAATGAACACTTTCTTCGTACTAATGTGTTATCAGTTCGCGTTTGTTTTATGCATGATGATTATTAATTTATTGAATTTTGAGAGTCAACATCTAACCTGCACTTCTGCCCACAATATTATTTACTTTTCCAATCAAGGCAACAACTGCGGCGTTCCCTTTCCACCTCAAAAGAGCCCTGTGAAGTTTTCCCCATACGCCAGAGCAACATTAGGCCACTCTTCACAACCAACTCCAAAAACAGAGAAAATAAATTAATTACATCTTATAATTTGTTTGGCCCTTTCGGGGGAAAGTCCCGCGTGCTCGAGGATCTGAATTAATTTTGGCTCATCAAATATTGCACTTTGAATATTTAAAATATTTATGCATTTTATGTACTTAGACAATTAATTTATATGCGGTAGTCAATTTACAAGATATATTGCTCTCCTAGATTGTTAAAAATGATCATTTTAATAGGTGGCAATTGACAATTAAGCCTTTTTTAATATTTAATAACATCTGGCTCAATTGATTGATGTTCACATTTTTGTTTTGTTTTAATTAAAATTACAATTTCAGAAAATGAACTGGAAAATTTCCATTACATCAAAATACATATAAGCAACGTTAATTATGAAATTGGTTTCGGAAACGTTTTGAGGGACCAGTTGGATCAGTAAAATCAATAAGTGCCTTTGGTTGCTACCCCTATTCAGACGCATCAACTCTTCCCTTTGGATAATTTTTTAATATTTTAACGACATTCACCATTTAGTTTTAATCATGCAACATGGATATTATTTTTTGGTTTTTTAAATTCCTAAATTCAACACTTTTGTAATAATTTATGTCGCAACCGCTTGTATGTCTCCCTGTAAGATGCACTTTTTGGGGTTTCAATCTTCGCGTCGTGATATGTGTCCATTGATATGTTTCAAGTTCAGAGCCACCTTCCAAGAGGCGGCTGAAAGTTGAGAAAAAATACATTAATTTTCTGTCCAGCATCTTACAGACATCTCTAAATATATATATTATATTATTTCAATCAAATCATATTTAACAACTGCGCTTCCATATTGCTCTTGTTCAACATTGATTAAATATATATATATTTTCATGAATTTGAAATTGCGATTATGCGTCTCTCACCAACTGTACTTTCTATTTTAATATATAACTTTCCCTTTGAATTACACATACATGATGCTCATTCTCGTTCTGTCTTTCTTTGACTACCTATCATCCTAATTATGTAATAACACAGCTTCGATTTCATATTTATATAGATATGTGATCCTGTTTTACGATGGAGCTGCCGCTGAACTGATTTACTTTTTATATTTTGTGGTGGCCCCGAAAAAACAGTGTAGTGCCTACGACAATCTCTCTCATGCACGTCTTTCAGTGTGTTTGTTTTCTTTGAAGAGTGGTCTGGCTAGCAAACCAATACGTGACATTTATGCAACGGGAAGGGCCGTAATTGATAAGCTCTCACTGGAGTCTCGACCTACGAGGCATTATTACTTTCGGGAAATTAATTCTTCTTTGTCCTGTTTTTAATTCTTGTACGTGACTAGATCTTCTTCTCTTCTATTTAGTCGATTACATAATTCCTTTCTATTTCGATACATGGCCTTTATGATTTTCGTATGTAACACTTCTTGTTAATTCTCCTCAGCTATCACTTCTTCGTATAGTTGTATATATTTAGACACAGTTTTGTGGATTTTCGCACTCGATTGACTCGGGAAATAATAATATCTTGTTCGAACAGATGGAGGGACACTCTCGACCGACCGAAAGTTGTTAGTATGTGCGTTTTGCTTCACCGAGCTAACTGATCGTCCAATTAATCAGCGTAAGTGAATCCCTTAATCGAGAGCGTCCCCTGAATTTCTCATTTTGGGGGATTTTTACAGTGAGTTAATATTGAGACTGAGGTATTTTATACGTTCGACATTAAAGACAGTTCGTGTAGTGTATCAAATAAAAATAAACCAGCATTTGAGCTACGGTTCCCACAACATGCACTGTGCTTCACTTTTGACTCCGAGTGGGCATTCTGACTTGAAAAATTGGGCTCAGATTCAAATTATGAAATGATTTTGGCACTTAATAAATTTTTTAGTAGTTAAACTTGCAGGGTTTGGAGATGCTGATTTGAATACGCGTTTCAAAATAAGATCACCTCGGTCAAATAATTTCCAGAAAATATTTTGCACATCCGAAATGACAAACTAACTATTCCAATATAAAAAAAGTTGTTTGTATAGAATTGATTTCAAAACCCAATTCTTCAGAGGTCAGAGGGTTTTTTAGTTTACTCTTTGTTGCGGCCACTCGGTGCCCGTAGGGCCCTAGGGAGCCTAGGGTTGCACTCAGAAGGCGGTCTGGTCTTGTCGCGGCCTCTCTCCAGCGATGGCCGGCGCCTGCTGGGCGCTCTGCCGCCTCAGCCTGATGGCCTCGGCGGCCGCGTCCATCTCGTCGTCAGGCTCCAGGGCCGGGTTGATGCGGCCGTTGCGTTCGTCCACACTTGAATAGTTCTTCTGCGCCGCCGTGTTCATCATGGCGAGTTCACCCTCGCCGGCTGGCTCGCCCACCCTTTCCACGTCCTCGGGGATGTTGACGACGCAGCGGAACCAGTCGTAACCTGGCGCCAGCCGGCCTGTCTCGAACAACCATTTGGTCAACCTGAAATAATTTCAAATTTTTGAAACATTCATTGAACGATTTTTCAATTGATTTTACATGAGTTATGTTTACAAATTTTGTTCAATGATGTGTCGGATCAGAATATTAACTTCTAAGTAAGAAATCAATCATTATTTGTTTTTTACTCAGAATAAATGAAATACTTAGAGGCAAACTATTTTTTCGAGAGTAAAAACTAACTATTTACAAGCTGAATCTTCATTCCTTTTTATAGATGAAGCATTCTCTCTTAAACTTCACCAAATTTAGGAAAAATCACAACTTTCAAGTACAATTTTTGTCCATTTTGGAGGAAAATCTTACCATGACACGCCGATGAGGGTAATGAGCGAGAGCAGCATGGACATGGTGCGGAAGGGGAAGAGCTGCTGGCCGTCCTTGTAGCCAGGGTAGTGGATCAAGGCCGGCAGCCCCAACATAGGCTCTCCTCCGGTCATGCGGACGAAGAAGGCGACGATGTAGGCGGACAAACTTCCGTAAGTGTTGCAATGGTGTTTGAAGTGCACCACCATCAGCAGCTGTGGGAACAGAATGCAGTACACCAGGTCGGAACACATAGACCTGAAACCACATAAACGAGTTAGAAAAATGATAATTTTCAGATTGTGAAAAACAAAAATTATTTTTAATTTAACAAATTTGCTAATCTTTTTACCTTCACGTTTTCCCGATTAACAAAATTAACATACCAAAGTCCGTAAATTGATGGGATGGTCAGGGCCATTATGGTGGACAGAATGCCCACGACGATGATGGACGCACGCATCACCCAGATGATCTCCATTTCGGACGCCTGCCAACAAAAGAATCTCTTTCAGCAAAGTTTTCATTTCCAAAACACGGTATTATTTTAAAGCCGTGTTAGTGTAATGGGCGAATGTCTCTCATGGGAAGTGGTTCTCTCGTTTTGGCTTTTTTCGGCCGGGAAGAATTGCATGTTGCAAAAATTTTGACATTCGTGCTAAAAACGGCTATTTTCGGAAGGTGTGCGATTTGCAGGAGCGCACACGTACGCGCATCAATTCACTTTGACCTTTCCTAGTCTTTGACGTGCGTGTTTAGCTAGGGCAATTTATTGTGAGTGTTATATTTGTATGCGAGCAAGGCGGCTCAAGCGTTGTGAATTTCGGAGTTGCATTCGATGACCTTGATACAACCTCTGAGTTATTGCCAGATTTTCGGCAAATTTTATCAAACAAAAATATTTGAAACGTGGTGAAAATTTTATATCAATTTCGGAATTTCGGCTAATTAAAATAATTAAAACCTAATCGATAAAGTAAAAGTAAGAAAATAATTTCTGACCAAAGAGTAGTCCGTGTTTAAAAGTGGGTTGCAGTATTGATTTCATTAATTAATAAGAATAAGCAAGCCACTTTGAAGGAGATTCTGACGGCTTTGAAAAGAAACAATTAACTTCAAATGGAAAGAAGTACAATCCAATTATTCAACCTGGACACTCAATTAAAAATTGAATAAATAAAGATATAAAAAATGCGTTACATAACCTTTTTTTGTGAAAAAAATCATCATTGTATTTATAAAATAAGTTAGTAAAAATTTTTGTAAATTCGTCTTTCTACAATTATTTTCATGAGGTTTTTTTTAAAGTAAATTTAAACAATTCCACTTACAAAAAAGGATAAATATATTTATTCATAACATGAAGCATTATAAAACCGTTAATTGAAAGTATTTTTAATATTTTTTTCTCGTTTAGCGAAAATGTATCAGAATTAAATTTTTTGGATAATTTTTTTCCACCAATATTAATGCCTCTCTGCAGTAGATGAGTGTTTTGCTCATTCAAAATAAAGAATAAATTTATTCTTCGGCAGCTTGCGATTGGTAATTTTTGTGATTCTATTTTGGGTCGGCAAATCACCGCGGGCACGCAAAAGTCCCTTAACAATCGGTGATGGATGGATTAGTACTTTTCCCTCGTTCTCTCATTTTGTAGTTCACAGAGTTGCGCTTCATTCATTTTCTCTCGATGCGGTTCGTCTGACAACGATTAAGAAAGAGTACGAACGCACCGCCGGTGGCAAAAATAGCTGTTGCATAAAACAAAGACTGGCGTGTGTGTATTGTGTGTGTGTGGAGGGAGCGCGCACGAGATGTTTGGCTTCCCCGTCCAGCGCATTATTATTATATTATTATTTTATTTTCGAGGAATATATCGAGCGATCGATCGGAGCAAAGAAGGAAAGAAAGGGGCCGCTGGCCTTGCACGGTCACGTAACAACTCACCCGCTGCCGAAAGATGAGTTTGTAAACATTCCGGGCGAACATGGAGCTGGCCGAGAGCACGCTCGAGTCGGCCGAGCTCATCACGGCCGCCGAAACGGCGCCCAGCCCGAAGAAGGACACAAAGTCGGGCGTCAGGTGCTGCAGCACCATCGGCAAAATCATCGACGTCTCCTGTTCTGTCAGTGGCCACGGCCCTTTGTAGTCCGTCTCGTTCCAAGCTGAAACCAAATCGGACACAAATTTCAAATTTTATGAAAATATTTCTATTGAAGATGCTATGAATTTTTTTTTTAATTTCAATGTTAAAAAAATACCTGGAGTTTAATTAATATGCAGAAAATAAATTAGTTATAAACTTGAACAAAAAAGAAATTATTTAAATAAACCCTGTTGTCTGAAAAATGCATTGAAGTTTTCTGGTCATAGTTAAAATGAATTGAATTAACTCACGCGTTGCTTTTGCGATGGCGCCGATGAGGACGGGAGGAATGGCCATCAGGATGCAGCCGGCAGCCGCCACGTACGATAAAATTTGTGCTCGAGCGGCTGTTTTGCTGGACAACACGCGCTGGAAATACACCTGCCCGAGACAAAATTTGATGAGATTTAAATCCAAATATGACGGGATCATTTTGGACGGACCTGCCATGGGATGCCACCGAAAACGAGCAGGAGACCGTAGTCTATGTAGAACCAACGCTGGTCCTCGCCCACCTCGCCTATCCAGTCGACGACCGCCGGCGAAAGGGAGCCCACTTGCTCGTTCATCATCGCGAACGGAATGCACATCCACTGCAAATTGACGTGTGACAACATAATAATTTGAGCAACAAAAAAAAAACGCCTGCACGGGTCCGAGCTAGGCAACCTGGGCAACACGTGTGCATTGCCGGTTGCATAACATCAATTTATTTATTTCATTGATTGGCTTTATTTGGCCAATCAATTATACTTACACCAAACTCTAAATCAGTGAAGAAGAAATGAGGGATTTTAAAATACAAGTATATTTCTTAGAAAATTGTTTTGAGGCAAAAATAAAAAAATTTCATAAAGGATTTGTTAATGATTGCCTTTTTAGGATAATTTTATTCTTTGCTGCACGCATTTTTATTTTAAAACATCTGAAGATATTGAAGGCCAAATTATCAAAACCTGGTCGAAACATCTTCATAGTTTGCATTAATTAAATTAAGTCTTGAATTGTTTTTATACGTTTTGATCATAAGGAATCAACAAAATTGTTTTCTAATACTACTATAATTGTCTTTATTACGTTCTGATTAATACTTATAAAGTCTGAAAGAAAGGATTTTTTTTTCGGAAAATAAACTTTATATGACATTGAGATTTCAATTTTTCCAACCTTAAAATCAATAATTATTACAATTCGCACGATCGAAATTATGAATTAAAAATGATGGTCTCACCAGGCCAATGAAAATGCAGAAAAGCTGGATGACGTCTGTGTAGGCGACGCTGTAGAGGCCGCCGAACAGTGTGTAGAACACGGCGATGCACGAGCTGAGGATGACACTCGTCCTGTGGTCCATGTCGATTATGACGCTCAGGGTGGCTCCTGCAATTCACCCATTCACTTTTTAAAACGTGACGTAACCGAGGAGCTTAGCAAAATATGTCACAAAGCCGCTGCCAAACAGCAGGCCAGATTATCTGGTTGGAAATGAGTCAGGTGGACTTGTGTGGCTTCTTTTCATTACCCACACAGGCAAGCAAGCAAGTCTCAGCCGAAACGGCTCTTTTTCGTAGAGGAAAAGATTCAGAAACAAAAAATAAATTGCATCTCACATCAACGAAATTAGCTTGTTTCAGATAAGAACAAATTTATTTCTAATCGTAACTATAACTCATTTTTTTTTCAGTGAACCAAAAGCATTAGAATTTTTTAAAAATGCGCTAAATATCTCAAAATCAACTAGTATTCACTCCCTGCAAATTATTTTTTAAATGCTGAAGCAATTAAAATTATTAAATTATTTTCATATTTGTTCCATCAAAATTATCTAAGCAGGTTTGCCATTGAATGTTCAATATAACTTGCAATTTAAGGCGGAGTAAATTTTCTCTCACCAAGCGCAGCTAGAATTCCAGCAGCCCAGAAGACCTCCCCGCAAAGCGCTGGCAAAAAGAGCAGACCGCCCATTCTTTCGCCGAAATTGTCCTGCAGCGGGTCCAGCATGGTGATGTAGCCCTGTCGGCGCATCTCGTTAGCAAAAAAGATGCCGCCTGTGGACAAAACAAATTTCCCTCCGTCTTTTTATCCATTTAAAACTTATGTATTCGTTTTCATTTATTTGTTCAAATGCGAGAAAAAGAGGCAATTGTTGTGTCTGAAGGATTTGAAACAATTCAACAGGTCGCTCGCCATTCTTGTTGCAACGAAAACACACTCACCGAAAACGAGACTGAGGGCGTAGCCAAAGGGCGCTTGGCACCAAACCAGTCCGGAAGTGTAGATGGCCTCGGCGGTGCCATTGATGTAGCCGCCGCCGACCCAGGTCGCTGCATGAAAGAAAGATGGTTTGATTGAAAAAAGTTTCAAGAGTGTTATAAATTGTATGGAATTTATTAAAAATGAAATCCTAGATAGTAGATACTTTTCTACTACAAGTGAACGTTAATGCTCATGGAATAGCAATTCTCAACTGAAAAATCTGACAGTTTAAGTTTTTAATAAGAGAACTGATTATCAAAAATTAACGGTATTGAAAACGTTGCTGATTTTCAGAAATCAACTTCAAACTATTGAAAGTTTTACATGTAACAGACTTTTCACTTTTTTGTTCATTAAAAAAAGCGACTCTAGAATAAACATTTGCCGAATTTTTTTCTTCAGCAAATTGCCCCAAGCCTTCATTTTTATTCAAAGCTGACGGGATGTTTTTTAGTGTTTAGAAAACGGTGCAAAGGTCAGAGGTCGTCGAGATTTGTCTTTTCTTACCTGTCATGGTGAAAATGCCGACAAAGAGGCCGATGCTCCTGCCAGCGAGCATCACTTCCTCTTCCGAGTCATTTCCGTGCTCCTTCTTGCGGCCGGCCCAGATGCCCACGGCCAAGATGAGCACGTAGAAGAGCACGATGGACACAACTCCGGCAATGTTGATCATCTTGCAGCCTGTAAGGCGATGCAACACTCACAGTGAAACATTTCGCGATTACATTCTTTTGAAGGTGTATTACTTTGACTCGATTGAACAGCTGACCGTATAAACTATCGAGATGAAAAAATTTCATCTGATATTACAGAAATGATTGATGTTTGGAATGGAAGTTTTTATTAACATAAAATTACGTTTTATTTTTTTATTAATATTAAATTATCATTATTATTTGTTTAAAATCTGTTAACTGAAATTTATGAAAATTCAAGAAAAGTTATAATTTGATTAATCGTAAAATGAATAAATTAGTTTATCAAGAGACTTTCGTAAAATTCTCATTCAAATTTTGTAGCTTTCCAACGTGACTGAAGTTAGCGATAGCGATAGCGATGCTAGCTACAGAAAAAAGCAGGGTGCCAACCTTAGAAATGTGGTAGTTGATATAAACACAATAATAATAGAAATAGAGTGAAACCACCCTCTCAGAAACGCAGCAGGCGGCTTAAAATGTTTCTTAATGACCCATATATCAGTTCCCGTTGTAAAAAACATTTGCATCACCATACCGGAATTAAATTAAAAAATAAAATATTTTCACCCTGCACTTTATCCGTGAAAAATCAAAGTTTTCTAAATTTAAATAAAACCCACCCTTTCAAGGGGTTCATATTCACACTACTGACGTAAAAATTGACGAGAAACAAGATTTCGAGCTAAAAAACTTTTGCATGTCACCCCCTTCATCCCCTATTTTCGAATTTTAAAATTTGAAGGGTGGTTTCGGTCAAAACCCACCCCCTCAGTAACAAGTTATGTGGCTTAAAATGTTCCTTTTTGGCCCTGTTATCAATTTCCGTTGTAAAAAACATTTGCATCCCCATACCGGAATTAAAATAAAAATTAAAAGATTTTCACCCTGCACTTTATCCGTGAAAAATCAAAGTTTTCTAAATTTAATTAAAACCCACCCTCTCATGGGGTTCATGTTCACCATACTGACATAAAAATTGACGAGAAATAAGATTTCGAGCTAAAAAACTTTTGCATGTCACCCCTTCATCCCCTAATTTCAAATTTTAAAATTCGAGGGGTGGTTTCGGTCAAAACCCACCCCCTCAGTAACAAGTTATGTGGCTTAAAATGTTCCTTTTTGGCCCTGTTATCAATTTCCGTTGTAAAAAACATTTGCATCCCCATACCGGAATTAAATTAAAAAATAAAAGATTTTCACCCTGCACTTTATCCGTGAAAAATCAAAGTTTTCTGAATATAACTAAAACCCACCCTCTCATGAGGTTCATATTCACCATACTGACATAAAAATTGACGAGAAATAAGATTTCGAGCTAAAAAACTTTTGCATGTCACCCCTTCATCCCCTAATTTCAAATTTTAAAATTCGAGGGGTGGTTTCGGTCAAAACCCACCCTCTCAGTAACAAGTTATGTGGCTTAAAATGTTTCTTAATGACCCATATATCAGTTCCCGTTGTAAAAAACATTTGCATCACCATACCGGAATTAAATTAAAAAATAAAAGATTTTCACCCTGCACTTTATCCGTGAAAAATCAAAGTTTTCTAAATTTAATTAAAACTCACCCTCTCATGGGGTTCATGTTCACCATACTGACATAAAAATTGACGAGAAATAAGATTTCGAGCTAAAAAACTTTTGCATGTCACCCCTTCATCCCCTAATTTCAAATTTTAAAATTCGAGGGGTGGTTTCGGTCAAAACCCACCCTCTCAGTAACAAGTTATGTGGCTTAAAATGTTCCTTTTTGGCCCTGTTATCAATTTCCGTTGTAAAAAACATTTGCATCCCCATACCGGAAATAAATTAAAAAATAAAAGATTTTCACCCTGCACTTTATCCGTGAAAAATCAAAGTTTTCTAAATTTAACTAAAACCCACCCTCTCATGGGGTTCATATTCACCATACTGACATAAAAATTGACGAGAAATAAGATTTCGAGCTAAAAAATTTTTGCATGTCACCTTTTCATCCCCTAATTTCGTTTTTTAAAATTTGAAGGGTGGTTTCGGTCAAAACCCACCCCCTCAGTAACAAGTTATGTGGCTTAAAATGTTCCTTTTTGGCCCTGTTATCAGTTTCAAATGTAAAAAACATTTGCATCCCCATTCCGGAATTAAATTAAAAAATAAAAGATTTTCACCCTGCACTTTATCCGTGAAAAATCAAAGTTTTCTGAATTTAAATAAAACCCACCCTCTCACGGGGTTCATATTCACTATACTGACGTAAAAAATGACGAGAAACAAGATTTTGAGCTGAAAAACTTTTGCATGTCACCCCTTCATCCCCTAATTTCAATTATAAAATTTTGAGGGGTGGTTTCGGTCAAAACCCACCCTCTCAGTAACAAGTTATGAGGCTTAAAGTGTTTCTCTTTGACCCTGTTATCAGTTTTCAATGTAAAAATCATTTTCATCCCCATACCGGAATTAAATTAAAAAATAAAAGATTTTCACCCTGCACTTTGTGCGCGAAAAATTAAAATATTCTAAATTAAACTAAAATCCACCCTCTTACGAGGTTCATATTCACCATACTGACGTAAAAAATGACGAGAAACAAGATTTCGAGCCGAAAAACTTTTGCATGTCACCCCTTCATCCCCTAATATCAATTTTAAAATTTTGAGGGGTGGTTTCGGTCAAAACCCACCCTCTCAGTAAGAAGTTATGTGGCTTAAAGTGTTTCTCTTTAACCCTGTTATCAGTTTTCAACGTAAAAAACATTTGCATCCCCATACCGGAATTAAATTGAAAAATAAAAGATTTTCACCCTGCACTTTGTACGTGAAAAAATTAAAATTTTCTAAAGTTAAATAAAACCCACCCTCTCATGAGGCTCATATTCACCATACTGACGTAAAAAATGACGAGAAACAAGATTTTGAGCTAAAAAACTTTTGCATTTCACCCGTTCATCCCCTAATATCAATTTTAAAATTTTGAGGGGTGGTTTCGGTCAAAACCCACCCTCTCAGTAACAAGTTATGTGGCTTAAAGTGTTTCTCTTTGACCCTGTTATCAGTTTTCAATGTAAAAAACATTTGCATCCCCATACCGGAATTAAATTTAAAAATAAAAGATTTTCACCCTCCACTTTATCCGTGAAAAATCAATGTTATCTAAATTTAAATAAAACCCACCCTCTCACGGGGTTCATATTCACCATCCTAACGTAAAAAATGACGAGAAACAAGATTTCGAGCTAAAAAACTTTTGCATGTCACCCCTTCATCCCCTTATTTCAATTTTAAAATTTTGAGGGGTGGTTTCGGCAATAACCCACCCTTTTAGGCACCAAAACTACGACCTTCAATGTTACTCTTTGACCCTTTTATCAGTTTTCGTGGGGAATATCAAATGCATCCCTCTTACTGAATATAAGAAAAATTTATAGATTTTCACTTTTGAATTTTTTTTTTAAATTTTAGTGAAGCCCATCCTCTTATAGATTTCATATTCACAAGTTTGTCATAATAAAAAATGACGAGAAAGAAGATTCTGAGATAAAAAAAATGATTTCATCTCACCTCTTCCGCTGCTTATTCCAAAAATTTTTTATATTGGTTTCGTCAATAACCCACCCTATGCGGCAACCAAAAACTGACTCAAAATGTTACAGTTTGACCCCTGTTTCAGTTTCTGTAGAGAATATCTATTGCATCTCCACACCTGAAATTATTGTATCAATCTGTAAATTATTGTTATTGCTTAAAATAGCATTCTTTTTTTTTAAACGGCCTCGTTCGTGTATTAATTTTTTACTAATCTACTTTCAAAAATGGACTGTTAAACAACCAAAATAAATAATTATTAAATATTTTTTCTGCAAAAGGTTTTACTGAAACTGTTCAAGAAAAACTTATCTTGACAAGAGTAAAATATGTACATACAAAATTATTCGTTCTTAACCTGAAAGAAATTTATATCATTCATAAATTCCATTGAATACCATCTCACCCTAGAGTGCATTCTACAGTTATTTAAATATTTAAAAGTAAAAAAAGTGAAAATTTTTCAACCTGTAGACTTGTAGAGATTGCTTAATTTAATAAAAAAAAAAAGGAATAATAAATGGGGCCCACGCAACAGATTTTTCGTAGAAAAATCTAGAAATATGGCTGAACAGATATGTGCGTTGATTTCAATAATGAAAAAAAAAGAAGAAATTGGGCTGCAATTCTCATTTTGGTTGAAAATTATATGAATAATGGACCGTTGTGGTTTGAAATTGGTTGATTGATTTTTCCGTGAAACATATAAGAATATCATAATTTCTTTTTTTCATTCTTCTAACCCAAAAATTTGAAAAAAAAATCACGAGGAAAAAATTTATTAATATTGTAATAATATCATTTGAAGATGAGGCCTAATATAAAACAAGATATTTGAGGTGAAAAGGGTTTGATTGTTGTTTCCTTGCGAAAAAAATTGAGAAGGTGCGGATAAATAATTTGAATTTAAGTCGGATTGTGTTTTTCGAGTTGCTTAATGTTAGCCAAAAATAATATGACAATACAACAATATGTTTATGATGCGCCTGCAAACATAATTCATGAGCTTCAAAATTATTTTATTATTCAAATTTTTGTAAAAAATGGATATAAAAAGCGTTTACAACAAATTACTGTATTGATGAAAAAATTATTTTGTGTAGTAATTGTATTCAAAAAAATTTCACAGCTCATGAATTATGGCAGCAGCCAGCAGCCGAAACACGTACAGAAGAATATTTTTTTTTTCTTAAAACAATTAATAGCTTGAAGATCACCAAAACTATCATGGAAAAAGTCTTTAAAATCACAACGAACCCACCCTCCGTAAAGAAGTTCTACCTCAATACGATAATTAGTTAAAATGTATTTAAAATTTATTTCAAAATTCCCGTATGGGGATGCAAATGTTTGATATGACGGACAAACTGATAGAAGGGTAAAAGAGGAAAATTTTAAGCCACATAACTTAAATTTTAATTTTTCATGCACAAAGTGCAGGGTGAAAATATTTTATTTTTTAATTTTATTCCGGTATGGGAATGCAAATGTTTTTTAAAGCGGAAACTGATAACAGGGTCAAAGAAGAACATTTTAAGCCACATTACTTGTTACTGAGAGGGTGGGTTTGACCGAAACCACCCCTAAAATTTTAAAATTCGAAAATAGGGGATGAAGGGGTGACATGCAAAAGTTTTTTAGCTCGAAATCTTGTTTCTCGTTATTTTTTACGTTAGGATGGTGAATATGAACACCGTGAGAGGGTGGGTTTTATTTAAATTTAGATAACATTGATTTTTCACGGATAAAGTGGAGGGTGAAAATCTTTTATTTTTTAATTTAATTCCGGTATGGGGATGCAAATGTTTTTTACGTTGAAAACTGATAACAGGGTTAAAGAGAAACACTTTAAGCCTCATAACTTCTTACTGAGAGGGTGGGTTTTGACCGAAACCACCCCTCAAAATTTTAAAATTGATATTAGGGGATGAAGGGGTGACATGCAAAAGTTTTTCGGCTCGAAATCTTGTTTCTCGTCATTTTTTACGTCAGTATGGTGAATATGAACCTCGTAAGAGGGTGGGTTTTAGTTTAATTTAGAATATTTTAATTTTTCGCGCACAAAGTGCAGGGTGAAAATCTTTTATTTTTTAATTTAATTCCGGTATGGGGATGCAAATGATTTTTACATTGAAAACCGATAACAGGGTCAAAGAGAAACACTTTAAGCCACATAACTTGTTACTGAGAGGGTGGGTTTTGACCGAAACCACCCTTCAAATTTTGAAAAAACGAAATTAGGGGATGAAAAGGTGACATGCAAAAATTTTTTAGCTCGAAATCTTATTTCTCGTCAATTTTTACGTCAGTATGGTGAATATGAACCCCGTGAAAGGGTGGGTTTTAATTAAATTTAGAAAACTTTGATTTTTCACGGATAAAGTGCAGGGTGAAAATCTTTTATTTTTTAATTTAATTCCGGTATGGGGATGCAAACGTTTTTTACAACGGAAATTGATAACAGGGTCAAAGAGTAACATTGAAGGTCGTAGTTTTGGTGCCTAAAAGGGTGGGTTATTGCCGAAACCACCCCTCAAAATTTTAAAATTGAAATAAGGGGATGAAGGGGTGACATGCAAAAGTTTTTTAGCTCGAAATCTTGTTTCTCGTCATTTTTTACGTTAGGATGGTGAATATGAACCCCGTGAGAGGGTGGGTTTTATTTAAATTTAGATAACATTGATTTTTCACGGATAAAGTGGAGGGTGAAAATCTTTTATTTTTTAATTTAATTCCGGTATGGGGATGCAAATGTTTTTTACATTGAAAACTGATAACAGGGTCAAAGAGAAACACTTTAAGCCACATAACTTGTTACTGAGAGGGTGGGTTTTGACCGAAACCACCCCTCAAAATTTTAAAATTGATATTAGGGGATGAACGGGTGAAATGCAAAAGTTTTTTAGCTCAAAATCTTGTTTCTCGTCATTTTTTACGTCAGTATGGTGAATATGAGCCTCATGAGAGGGTGGGTTTTATTTAACTTTAGAAAATTTTAATTTTTCACGTACAAAGTGCAGGGTGAAAATCTTTTATTTTTTAATTTAATTCCGGTATGGGGATGCAAATGTTTTTTACGTTGAAAACTGATAACAGGGTTAAAGAGAAACACTTTAAGCCACATAACTTCTTACTGAGAGGGTGGGTTTTGACCGAAACCACCCCTCAAAATTTTAAAATTGATATTAGGGGATGAAGGGGTGACATGCAAAAGTTTTTCGGCTCGAAATCTTGTTTCTCGTCATTTTTTACGTCAGTATGGTGAATATGAACCTCGTAAGAGGGTGGATTTTAGTTTAATTTAGAATATTTTAATTTTTCGCGCACAAAGTGCAGGGTGAAAATCTTTTATTTTTTAATTTAATTCCGGTATGGGGATGCAAATGATTTTTACATTGAAAACTGATAACAGGGTCAAAGAGAAACACTTTAAGCCACATAACTTGTTACTGAGAGGGTGGGTTTTGACCGAAACCACCCTTCAAATTTAAAAAAACGAAATTAGGGGATGAAAAGGTGACATGCAAAAATTTTTTAGCTCGAAATCTTATTTCTCGTCAATTTTTACGTCAGTATGGTGAATATGAACCCCGTGAGAGGGTGGGTTTTATTTAAATTCAGAAAACTTTGATTTTTCACGGATAAAGTGCAGGGTGAAAATCTTTTATTTTTTAATTTAATTCTGGTATGGGGATGCAAATGTTTTTTACATTGAAAACTGATAACAGGGTCAAAGAGGAACATTTTAAGCCACATAACTTGTTACTGAGAGGGTGGGTTTTGACCTAAACTATTAATATTGTGTTTGAATCAACCTCCAAATTTCGTAGGTTGGCACCCTGCTTTTTTCCGTCGCTGGTAACGCTGTCGCTATCGCTAACTTCAGTCAAGTCTTTCCAGATGATTCGGAATGGAATATGCATCCGATTATTGCTTATTTCTCGTTTTCTCGCCTAGCTGCGTGCAAATGTAGCGAGTTGAGCGTGGGTCGCGAGACAAAAGGGAGAGGGGAATCGCGGCGAACCGCTGCGATTATGCCGTGTGGTCTCCATGTCTCACCAAGACGCACGCGTTTTAATGGGGTCGCGCCACTTTTTTATTGGGGATCAAAACAAACTAATTATTGCAGGCCACTCTCAAATACATCAAAATTTGCAGCCAACGACTTTTGCACGTGATCAGCGACCAGCGTTAAAGGAGAGCTAGATTTTCAAATTTAATGATTGATGTTTTTTATTTTACCGTTCAATGAGAATGCTAAAGATTTTCATGCATTTCTATGTTCGTTTATAGATTTTTTTTAAAAATATTTTAAAAGCCTTAAAAATAGTTACAAGTAAAATTTCCGATCAATTATCTTCTCATGATGAATGAATTGCCTACCTAATCCGTAAAAACGAGTTCTAATAATAAAAATAATTAATCGTTACCGAGCATATTTATTGATTTTTCTCTTGGTTTCTTCAGGTGAATTGGGACGAGTCTTATATCTACGGTTTTCTTTCGCAAAACGAGGGCAGCGTCTAAACTAGCAATCAAAGAGTTTCGTCCGTTGCGGACTTTTGCAAAAGGGTCAGGTCGATTTTTCGACCTCTGTGGCTGGCTCACCTGCTGTGGAGAGTCGCACTCGTGCAGGATGTGTGTTGAGAATTAGTGTGGTTTCGCAGTTGGTGTGGGGGGTATGTCAGTGCAGCGGCGTCATCGGTGAGAGGTCGACGACGAATTGTTGGATTTCAGTCTTTGGTAACGCACAGTGAAGTGTATTTTATATATATATATTTTTACAAACGAGAGAGAGAGAGAGAGATGAAACGGACAGAGTAAGAGATGGGGGGTGTGGGGGTGGATTCGAGGTCGTGCAGAGTAGTCTCAGAGGCGGCGTTCACTTGGGCAGGCCTTCAGGCGAGAACAACAGTCGCCCCATCGCAGGCTAGTCTTTTGTGACGGCGAATTTCTGGTCCTAAAGCCGAGACCGCACATATGGGACAAGCATTCCGTCTCTCACCAGCGTGCACCACTCTCCAAGTCTGCCTGGCGGTGAAGAGAGAGAGCGAGTCGCACAGCTCGGCACTAGGGCGACCTATTGATCGACTCGGCGGCACCGGTGACGTCGGCCCGCCCCATTGGCCACCCTCGCGCCCCGCCCGCCCCATTGGCCGCCGACGAAGCCCAACGCCATGCGCCCCCGGTGTGGGTGGACACTGGTGCCAATTCATGCCCATACTCACTAAATCTAGTGACGTACGTGCACGCTAATTGCGTGGGCGCATACCTGTGCTCTCTCCCGAGCTCACCCCGAACCAGCATTTTCTCCTTCTGTCACTTCTGCACAAGCCCTCTGATGGATTTCTTGTCAACGCAGATTTCGATTAACAACTCCCTAATCATTGTTGGGGGAGTTGGGGGAAAACCATTTCTTTTTTCAAAACATTCAAAAAATTTAAATCTTGTTGAGGCTAAAAATTAAATTAAACACCTTTTTCAGATAAATTTTGAAATGCTAAATTAATAAATTTTAGGACAGTCTAGATCGATAAAAATTTTTTTTTTTAACATCAATTTAATTTTTTTCCCCCTGAAAAAAAGCCATAATATATGTTATAAAAAATATAAATAAATGGAAATTTCTTCTGTTATAGTTTTACTCACGCTGGGTATTTTTTCTCTCCCTTTTCAAACCTTTTTCAAGATAAATACGGCTGCAATTAGTTGAACTGTTAATGGAAAAGTTGCCTTTTTAATAAAAATGATTTGGACCTTAATTGAATGTTTCTTCTTACAAAATATATTTTTTCTAAAATTCCATCATTATTCTCTTAAATGCAAACAATCTGACACGTTTCTGCACTTTTCTTTCTTTTCTTTCACTTCTTTTTATGACAAAGAGTTGAGATGGGCACAAGAGGTCGCAGCAGGCCTTTCTGGGTCACTCCTTGCTTTTGCCGCCTCGCACATGTCCCTTCGAACCGCTTCCCACCGCCAACTTTTGTTTGCCTCTTTTGTTGCGTACTCCAGTTTTGGAAGTTTCAATCGATTTCATGCAAATTCGCCAAGCGTGTATGGAAATTTCGATTCACGAAAAGGAAAGGGGTGACGCAATATCTCGAGGGAACTGTAAATTCCAGCTCTTGGCCTTAACCTCTGCATGAAGTGTTCCTCTGTTTTTGCCTGGTGGCGATTGCAAACACTAACAATGCTTGATCTCCGTTGAATTATTAATTTTTATTAAAAAACCCTTTAAGCACCAATTTTTAATTCATTTTCACGGAATCAAGATTTAGAATAGCAAGAAAAAAATGTTGCGCTTATTTTAAGTAGTCTTTTTAACAGCAACTCAATAACTTTTTATTTAAATTTTATCAAAAAAGTTCAATGATTTTTTTTCTGTTGCGTACCGACCGATGCTAATAATTTTTCCACGTCATAAAAATTATCAGAGGTGATAACATATGATCTTGTTTGATCAAGCGCTATGAAAGCTTGTGAACCACATTTTACGTGAGGGAGTAATTTTTTCAATGATACGGTTTGAATATTTCGTTGACAAGAGTCATTTTATAAGTGTTAAGTATAATTCAAAGGGAAATACCGATGTTCAAAATCGTAAACACTTCAAGTAACTTTTGCATTAAAATACCAAAACAATTGAAATTTAACGATAGCATCTCTTAATTGTTGTTGTTATCGTTTTTTGGTCAAGAACTGCGTCAAAGTTTTCTATTGATTTCTGATAAGGATTTGCAATTAAGGATCCCTTTGGAACCTAGAAAAAACGGATAATATGTGTGTATGACTAATGATTGCAGGTGTAAATGTAATGATATCGTAGCGTTCTTAAATATTTATTATCGCCGAGGTAGTTACAATATATTAAGGCAAAAGCGTGTCGTCGAAAAAATAAGTTAAATAAAGGCTAGATCGCTGAGAGTTGAAAGAGAAAGAAATCAGGCAGCAATACATGCAAAGATTTATTGCTTCTCAAAGGACCTCAGTGCAGGACTGGTCTGGGTCGGAGGTTGGGCGCCAACGGCACCCTCTCGGTGGTAAGCTCTTCCAGGGCGGGTGTCGTCGCCCTCTCGGTGGTGGGTTCCTCCGGCGTGGGTGGCTTCACCCTCTCGGTGGTTGGCTCCTCCGGGGTAGGGGGGGTCGCCCTCTCAGTGGTCAACAACTCCTCGGTGGTTGTTTCCGGCTCTTCCGTGGTGGCCGGCGTCGCGCGCTCGGTCGTGGGCTCCGGCGAGGTGGCGGGCGTCGCCCTTTCGGTGGTCGGCGCCTCGGAGGTCGCGGGTGTCGCCCTCTCGGTGGTCACCAACTCCTCGGTGGTCGTCTCGGAGGTGGGAGCCTCTGTGGTTGTCTCACAGGGGGGAGCCTCTGTGGTCGTTTCACAGGGTGGAGCCGCGGTGGTCGTTACGCAGGGAGGTGTTGTTGTGGTTGATGGTGCAGGGGTTGTCGTTAGTACGGGCGCCTCCGTCGTGACTGCAAGATTTTAATTTATAAAAATTATAAAATGGAAAAGGAAAGATTTTATTGGTAAAAGTCACTGTACAAATTATCATTTTGGTTTTGGTGCAATTAAAAAAATGAGAGTATCATACCTTCGCAATCTCCTCCGCCGCCGCCACCTCCACCACCGCCTCCGCCTCCGCCGCCTCCTCCTCCGCCACCTCCTTCACCTTAAAAATTCAAATTTTGTTAATAATCAAATTAAACAGAAGGTTAATTATTTTATATATATTGATTAAAAGTATACAACGATTTGCTATGTTGGTCTTAAAACCTTTGTTTTGTGTTTTACGTTGAAAAAAATGTATCAATTATTAAAAAAAAATTGCTTTTGGATCAGTAAAAGCAAAAAAAATAATAAACTTACAGCCACCACCGCCGCCTCCACCTCCTCCTCCGCCGCCACCACCGCCTCCGCCTCCTCCACCACCTTAAAAAATTAATTACAGTAAATTATACAGTCATATTCATTTGTAACTTTTACTTATTTATTTTCTGTTCCGAATTTAATATGAAGTTAATTTTAAATCGCTCAATTTTTCGGTGCCTAAAAGAATTGATAGCGCCAATTTCCAAACTTTTTGAGGATCAATTCCAAATTAAATTAATTAATTTTTTCACACATATATGGAAATTACCTCTAAAAAAATTAACAAGTAAATCACTCATTAAATTATTTAGCTCCGATTTTAGCTGTTGGCTTGTTAGATTTTATCTCAATACTGTTGCAGCGTGCGGTTATCAGGATCAAAGGTCGCGTTCCCAGAACGTGCTGTTTTCTAATCAGTCGGACATCCACTTTAAATACTGTCCGGATTTTTCGCAACACATACACTTTCCAAACCGTGGAATATTTATATTTCTGATCTTTTGCACCTCTAATTTGGGTGAATTTAGTCAAAATCGATGAACTGAGCCTAAAAGCGCGCAACAGCCCATTATCTCAACTTAATCTGCCGCGCCCAAAATAGCCCGTTAATGCTACTCGAAATTTAATTTGACGTCAACGATCATCAAAGTTGAATTGGGAATTAATTTTCTCTGAATAATAAATGGAAAAAGTTTCATACCACGCTTGATGAGCTTCGCATGCTCTAGGTCGTAGGCAAAGCTCGAGGCCACCAGGCACAGCACCAAAGATGCTGCAATGTGTGCGCGCATCTCTGACAGAAAATTTGTTAAAATATAAAAAAAAAATGATGAATAATAAAAACCTTTGATTGCGCTTTAGTCCAAGTTATTCAAGTTCTAATTGAAAAATGATTCTTTTATCGGCTTGTTCGCATTTGTCTTTTATAGTTGGATTGGCGACTATCAATTATAATCTAATTAGCAAAACACTTGACCGTTGCTTCGCGTGATCTTGATTGCATTTTAATAGCGTTGTTGGCGGCACTTCACAGGACATTTCGAGTGTTTTTTCTCAGCTCCGACGTTGACGGTGCGCGTTTGATAGGCAAACCAACTCATCGTCGGAAAAAGATAAGAGGAAAAAGTCTGGAATCTGCGCTGTGCGTCGAACTGACCAATACTCTCATTGCGTGTCATGAATGGAATTTACGCGAGAAAAGTGGTGACCTGACGTCACATGATTCGCGAGAGATAGAGTGGAAAACATTTTTTCTTAATTACTCTGAACTGATGCAATCAATTTAATGGTGCAATGTTCTCAAATTTATGCATTGTTGATAACGAGTTGGCGTGTTGTTATTGCTGACTTATCTTTTAACAAGTGAAAATATCATGTTTTGTAAAATATAAAATTATTAAAATTATAGCATTGTTCAACCTTGATGGTTAGTTTTAGTTAGGTATTTTCTTTTGAACTAATCATGCGTCATAATTGCTGTTGATATACATCCGAATTTATTTTATTTATCTTTAAATTATTTCAATACACAACCATGGATGCGTTGGCGCTGAAAATATAGAAATATAATGATCAAAAATCAATCGCAAACCCTAACAACAACCAATATTATTGCCTTCAGTTTTCCTATAATGTTCTCTAAAAGCCTTTATTTTTTACATAATATTTTATTCTCTAACACAGATTTTGATCTTTGAATTATTATTTCTTATAGCTTTTGCGACGCACGAAAAATTGGCAAACTCGACACATTTATGTGTTTTAAAATTCGTAGAGAAAAAATCGAATATATAAAAAGCACAAACGGACAAATATATATATCTGAGCTAAACATTTCGTTTTGTGACGCAACAAGATAAAATCGCCTCTATTCTATTGCCTTTGTGACTTAACGGCTAAAAATGCAATGAGATTCAAGCGTGTGTATGACCAAAAACACTATCTCTTGGATTATTAGGAACAAAACACGATTCTGCCGGACGACGCGCCGGTGCATTGTGAACACAAAGATTTTGATTTTTCTTGCAGGTTATTATTTGATCGAGTCGAACTGGGTTTTGACAAAATAGGTCGTCAGCTGACCCTTGCCCTTGACGTAGATCAGGCCGCGGCTCTCGCACTCGTAGCCGCAGCACATCAGCACCCTCGCCGTGTCCTCCGTCACCTTGAAATTTTTATTAAAGAACAGTTGCATTTTGATCTAATTATAAAACCTGAATACGTCCCATGACGCCGCAGCTGTCCATGCGCGAGGCAACGTTGACGGTGTTGCCCCAAATGTCATACTGAGGCTTCTGGGCACCGACCACTCCGGCGATCACGGGCCCGTGACTCAGACCTGCAAAATTAAAAATTAATATTTAAAACTTCTAAATTTTATTTGCGAAGACACAAAATTTTAAACATTTTCGCTCATTTATTTCCATTTAATTTTTTTTTTTATAGACTTCAGTAGAATAAACAATAATAAAAAATATTTAGTTTTTTGTTTTTACCAATTCGGAGGCGAAACCTCTGGAATGAATCTTTGTTGATCTGGTCCAGGATGCTCATCAGGGCGACGGCAAACTCGACCAGGACCACCACGTGGTGCTCTTGCCGCGAAACATCCTTGAAATTAATATATTAATTTGAAGATTCAGCTTGAATATTTGTTGCATTCTTATAATTTGTTAAAAAAAAAGAAAAATTGTCAGATATTTTATTTTGAAATGTTGAAGAGTTTTTATAAGTCTTCCTAAATTACTTGGGTTTGAAAAATGTATCTATTCGATTTGAGTTGAGATTTCCTCAGTTTGTGGGCTTGTTAAAAAGTTTGTTAGTTTTCACAAGTTCTATACTGAGGGGAATATGTAAATTACAAAAATTACTTGTAAATATGTTAATTTCTTTCCCTGCTGTATATTTCATTTGACAAAATTGTAAATGGGTGGGTCGCACGGGAGACATGACATGTGATTACATTCCATTTCATTTCTGATAATGAAATTTATCAGAATGAACGCTGAGATTTTCTAAACTTTTCTTAAGGAAGTATCTATATAAATAAAATTATAATAATTTAATATTCTTTATCACTGAATTAATTTCTTTGATTCATTGTTAATTTCAACATGAGATTATTTTTTAAAGTTACCATTTTTGGTTTTTCTGTTTTATAAAATTTTAAATTACTTTCTTTCCTTGCCCCAACTCGCCAGGCCTGAGTCCCGAGGCGAGCATATAAGTGCTGCCGATGGTTTTGATTTTCTCGATGCAGCTGAATTTCGGCTTCAACAACAGCTGTAAAAAATTGTCAATTAGCGCGAATTCGCTCAGCTCCAAGGTAAAATGTTGACCTTATCAAAGTCGCAGATTATTTCGTTGAGGAGCCGCAAGCACTCGAGACCTTGTTTGTTCACGTCGGTCTCGTCATAGAATTCCTTGTAGTTTGGGATTGACGCGAACATTACTGCGATGCAGTCGTAACGCTCATGATACAAATCTTGCTGCCGATCACATATTAAATTACAGTTTTTAAAATATTTCAAAAGTAAATTTTACATTTAAATTAAAAATTTAATTTAGCAAACATTTTTTTTCTTCCTATTGAAAAAAAAATTTATTTAAATTAAATGTAACATATCATCAACCATCATTAAAGAAAAAAAGATTACTACGAAAACTCTAGCCAAATAATTTTTTTTTTCAATGTTTATGAAAAAAAATTATGTTTTGAATTTTTAGTGGAATTAAAATGGCAATCACCTTTTGGACTGGAGTGGGTGAAAGAAATTTTTCCGCCACGTGAGCAGGCAAAATGTTCTCTAGCAAAATTTTGTTGATGCCTCTCATAGTCTCCACTTCCTCTTGCTCAACCTTTTTTTAGAAATTTTTAATAATGGACCTTGAACAACTGCATTGTTTTCACCTTGAGTTTTGCCGTCCAGAGGAAATCTGCCCTTGACGTGAATTCGATTTGTCTGTCCAAAATGTGCAGGACAGACGCCACCAAGGTCATACACAGTACAAGCTGGAGCTCAAACGGCAGTTCGGAAAGGCTATCAAAACAATCAACAATCTTCTATTTTACAATCTCAATTATTACCCGTCTTCTATCTTGAAGTAGTACTGGGTGAACTGAGCGGAGCACAGGGTGATATAGGTGAACAGGTGGGCAATAGTGACCGCCGCCAGCAGACAAAGTTTGAGAAGCAAACTGACCCGCAGGAAGACGGAAATCGAGGCCAAACTCAGTACCGAACCCATGATATAAATCTGCAAGAAGTAGTAAAATCAATTAGAAAAAAATTATTTGTTATACTAACTGGAGTGACGCTAAGGGTTGAATTTGATGGTGCGTCTAGAGCGGTTGCGTTCAGCACCTCATATATTTGGCCATTAGTTTCATTCAGTCCAATGTAAATTTCCTCTTGCCGATCCGAGGAGAAGTAAAACTTCAATCAGAAGAAAAAAAATTATAAAGCTTGATTGCAAATTACCCTTGATTTTTATTTATGCTGAAGTTAGTAAAAAGTAATTTAATGTTTATTAAAACTGCAATATATAAAAAAAAAATTAAATTTTTAAATTTTCATTCACCACTGGGGCCAACGTGGAGACAGAAATGAGGGCCTCCACAATGAGAAAAACGGCCATTCTCAGTCCTTCAGAGCTGCCCACAATCCCCTCCGAGTCCTCCCCGTAGAAAGTTACCAGGGCGCAAGGCTCCCTTATCCACGTGAAGAAGAGAATCAGCAAAAGAGCTGCCAAAGTTGCGCCAAGTGTGCTCAAAAGAAGAAAGTCCCTGGTGGTAGAACAATTAATAATTAAGAGTTTGAAAAGTTCAAATTAAAAATTACACGGGGATAGTCAAGATCTGAATGGCAGCAATGCAGAGGAAGAGGCCGAGGGCGCCTGAGACGTAGAACTTGAAGTTTGAGTCGCTCTGAGTCTGGTAAGATTTTTCTTGACTGCGGCTTTTGAACCACAACAGAATGGGGTTCAAGTCTTCTGAAATTCCGCAGTCCAGACAGGAATTTCTTCCTGGCAGAAGGTTTGATTCAATCGCAGCAATACTCTAAAAAATGAATGACGTTTAATTTTATTGCTTTAATTATATCCGAAATATTCAAAAATGCTTAACTTTTGCAAATAAATTTATTACAATTACCGATATTACTTTCACTGGAAATTTTTTTTCATATTTTATTTTATATAATTCTGGGTATTAAATACAAGCTTCTTTTTACCGTGAGTCCGATATTTTTGGCGAGAGTGTTTTCAGTGATGTTGGCGAAGGGCTTGTCAGCGCCCCAGCACTCCATGTACTTGGTCATTTTGGCGTGCGCGCCCCTTGCCTTGTCGCCACCTATTTCGTTCTCGCCCGAGTTCTGCCAAGAGAGCAAAGTTTGTTTAGTTGAAACGAGTTTTTAACTCGCTTAAGGACCTTTGGCGGAATGATGAGAAACGTCTCGACTTTGTGCTCGTCCAGGTAGCCCTCGCGCGAGCCGCCGTTTCCGGGCTCCACCTCAAAGCGGTTGCCCAGCTGCAGCAACGTCGCCTTTGTGATGTGCACTCGCCTTTGTATCACAGAAAAATGTTAAATAATTTTGATTTAAAATTGGTTAAAAATGGCAGGTAATTTTTTGTTAAAAAAATTTCAATTAAGCCAAATATAACTAAGTGTAAGTAAGAGTAAAAATTAGGGTGAAGTCAAGGAAGTTTTGCTTCATTATTAATTTAGAATTAATAACTTTCATAAAATTTTGGATAAAGCGGGAAAAAATATGATTGGGTCCGAATAAAAAAAAAAAGATTCTCGAGAAAAGATTTTGGAGAAAAAATTCTAGAGAAACGATTCTCAGGAAAAGATTCTCGCGCAAGGATTCTCTAGTAACGATTCATTAGTTGAATTTTAAAGGCGCAAACGTTCCTGGAGAATCCTTAGCGAGAATCGTTTCTTGATAATATTTTCTCGAGAATCATTTCTCTGATATTCGGACCTAACCAATGATTCTACAGAAACGTAAAATCGGTTGGAAGAACCGATACTGAGTACAACGACAAATTTAAAAGTTTAAAATTATCTTCAATAAAAACAGATATAAATCAAGTTAGTAATTACCCTGGTACACCGCCCGACTCCATGTGGTTGGCCAAGGTGACGTCGTCTGACCAGACGTCAAACTGCCACTTTCGCAGGCCCAACACGCCGCAAAGGACGTTGCCGGTGTGGATGCCGATTCTCATATCCACGTTGAAACCCGTCGCCTCTCGCACAAATCTAATGAAAATAAAAACATGAAATAGTAAATTTTGTTCACTTGATGGAACAAGAACCAATTAAACAATTTTTATTTTAATTTTTTTTTTGACGAGTGCAGTTTAAATAATTTAAAATAAATTAAACCTTATCAGGGCAAACTGAATTTTATGAACGATAAGGATTTTTTTATTTTTAAAGGATTTTAACAACTCAACAAATAAAATGGTTCTATTATATAATTTCCAATAATTGACAAAGTAAGAGGGATCCTTTTTATTTCCAAAGTTGGTGAAGTTACTTTTGGTGAAATTAATTTATCTGCAATATAAGACATAAATTGCTGTTTCTTGTCAGGAATGCCCTTCGTTAAACCCAGCAAATGGAGTGCAGGGGCCATTCCATAAATTAGTCTGCCCTAGCTGGGAAATGAGTTTGCCCCGCCGAATAATGTCCCCGCAACCCATTAGCACCACTTTTTATGCGGCGTTTGCCAGCAGAAAGGCATGTGGTCGGGCGCGCGTAAAAATTTATTCGCCTCTCGCTGAACAAACAAGCTTTATTATGTATTTTGTCACCTGATGGCCTCGATCATCTGCAGGCCCATCTTGACGCAGTTGTACGCGTGGTTGGGTCGCGACACGGGCAGCCCGCTCACGCAGTAGTAGCAGTCGCCCAGGATCTTGATGCGCATGCATTGATTTTCCTGTTGCAAAAAAAGAGAAAATAATTGAATCCCCGTGCGCTCTTTTTTATGTCCAAGTTGTTGTTTTTTTTCCTACTTGTGCGATTTGATCGAAGCGGCCGAAGAGCTCGTTGAGGGTTTTGACGAGATCCGAGGCGGTCAGTTTCTCCGACAGAGGCGTGAAGTTGACGATGTCCGCGTACAGGATGCTTGAAGAGACAGACACACTTCGTTATTTCGGGCCGCACACATTGAGCAAACACACACTCAAGTGCCTTCAAATGTGACAAAAAAGGCGACGAGCTCTGACAGCCAGCAACAGAAATATAGAGAGGGAAATCGGAAAATTCACTTTTTTTTTGTGAAAATGACGAAATTGATGTTCTTTTTTTAGTATTTGATGGTTAAATAAGGAATGAATTTTTTTAGATAAATGGCATTGAAGTAGAAAAATTGTCAAATATTGTTTTTAATAATAATTAATAATAATACTAAAAAAAAAAATGATTATGGGTTGCTGTGAATTTTCAAAAAAATGTAAAATTTCACATTTCTGATGAGTGGAATTTCTGGTGGCAGAAAATTGAAAGTTCAAACTTGTGCTTTAACGTATTTATGTAAAAATGGAAATTAATATTTCGGAAATAATCCCCCTGCCCTTTTTTCAAATGTTATAATACACCATGAATGACTATAACAATTTTTAATGAATTATAAATTTGTATGAAAGATCAGTACCTGACGTTATTGTGTCGTTGGACAAACATGTCGTGGAAGCGCGTCTGTTTTCCGCCCACCTCTTGGCACGCGTCTGCCATCTTCAGCATGATGCTCCGTTTCACCTAAATAATCCCCCATCGATTTGCCAAAAGTTTTTCTTTTTAATTCAATAATTTGCTAACCTCGGCGGCGATGTAGGCTGGGATGACGCTGAGCAGCAGCTGCTCTTGTTGCTCCTTTTCGCACTCGAGTTTGACGCGCGACTCGATGCACGTCCGCGTGCCCTTGAACGTCCTGCGGTGCGCCGCGTTGGTCAGCGCTCGATAATAGGCACCCGTCGCACTTGCACTCGCGAGGAAAATCGCGTCGGCCAACAACTGGATCTGTTCGACATTGCAATTGTAGTTTTTGTTAAAATTTTTTTTATAAAAATTTCGTAAAACTGCCTTAGAATGATTTATGAATTTAAATTTCCTCCTTTTAATAATATAATTAAAATAAACTTGGTAGTACCTGTCTTCAAAAATTTTTATTCTTAATAAATTGTAAATTGAATTAGGTAATTTTTCCTTTCATTTTCCATGGAAATATTTACTAATTTCTAACAATGCAATTCCTGAATTACTATGATTAAAAGAAGAATGCATAATACAAATTTAAAAGAAAAACGTAATTGTTGAGATTTTTAATTGTAGTACAAAAAATGAATGCAATGAAATTTTGAAAATTTATCATATGAAATTAATAAAATATCTCTAATTAAATTTTTCAAAAATACTCAATTTTTAAACCTGAAAATTTGTTATTTAAAAATCTCTTTACCTGCTTTGTTCAAAATTTAAATTCAAAGAAAATAATTAAAAAACAATGTAATTATTTTTATTTACAATTAGTCTTACAAATTTAAATTCAAAGAAAATATTTAAAAAAAATTTAATTATTTACAATTAGTCTTACGTGAAGGTTGGGGTATTGATTGGCGATGGAGATGGTGGCGTTTGTGGCGACGACGAGCACCGAGAGGCCGACGGCCAGCAGCCAAGGCAGCGGCAGCATGGTGTTGACGGCGAGCAACAGGGCGAACAGCGGCACAGCCCTGCTCGAGTCGCGGCCGCCCACCTGCAATTCGCAGTCACTTCTCGTTAGTCTCTCGCAAAACAACTTTGGGGCCGAAAGCACGCGCCGTGAAACGGAACGAGCGTTTTTCTCGGTCGGACAAAGCAGTCGTAAAACTAATGCAATCTGCCGGCCGAAAGTGATTTCCGTGCGGAAATGAAAGAGCTCCACACGTGAGAGTGAAGTGCCCAAGTTATGCAGCCGTGCGCGGCATGCGTGTCGGCCGGGAGGGTATAACCAAAAGGAAATTCGCGCGACGAGGCGGACTGATTGCTATTTTGCCTCAAATTCAATTTATTTTCCCCCAACAAATCGAAAAGTCAGTTTTTGGTTGAAAGAAAAGTAGGAGAACCAGTTGACCATCGAGCTTTTGGTCACGACTTATATTAAAATAATTATGCACTCGGTATTTTGTGTTCATTTCACAAGTTTCTATTCTTGATTTTGAAATATCTGCAAGTCTTTTCAGACATTTCGATTGATTTTATCGATTTTTTTTTTAAATCTGAGCTGTATTGTGTGAAAAAATTGAGCAAACAATATATGTTTATGTAATTTATGGAAATACATAATATTCCCCAAGAGAGAAAAGTTAAAAAATTAAAAAATAAATATATATGCATATTTAGAGACTTCAATTTTTTTTTTCATATTAAGAAGGAGCAATTTTTTTTGTTCGTTTTATTCCAAAGATAACCATTTTGTTTTTATCCTATTTAATTCTTAGTTCGTGTTCCCATTTCTCAATATAATAATAATTTTGCTCTATAAAATCCGAAGATGTTTATTCGTCTTGTTAAATTTTCCCATCTTCAGTCTCCGCCCTTATGATACTTTAATGTTTTCAATCCATTAAGATATCATTAGCGAAATTGGGTCTCTAAATTAATGGCGCTTTTCAATCAAAGTGCCGTGCAAGACTTTTTCAATAACTTAATATTTTTCCATTAATTTGCTGCACTCACGGAACGCTTGGCTTGAAAGTCGTGTCGCAATTTGTGTCGTGACCATTCATATTTGGATGGCAAAGCATTTCGCCAACGAGGGATAATTAAATTGATGCTCATCGATCGCGAAACGCAAAAAGCTTTGCAAACAGAGAGTTTCAATAAACTGCTACTCAAGCAATGTATAAATATTTATAGGAGCGCGCGCGCAAATAAATAAAAACAAACACTTTGAGTCTTAACGAGGAGCCGAGCAGAAGCTGAGAGGTGCAAATAATAGAGAGAGACAGAAACGAGCAGGGAGTAAATACACATACCAGCAGGATTATCGAGGCGAAGGCCGTGCTGAAGACGAGCAGGCCGAGGGTGGCGCCGAAGCGCACCGAGTTCTGCACGGCCGGCGTGTGCGCCACCAGCAGCGTCGCCAGCAGCACCACCAGAAGGCTCGACGCCACTACCAGCTCCTGCCAGCATTCTGACAGCACCTGAAATTCAAAATTCAAAAGAATGTTTTAAATAATAACAATTTTCGGAAACTAAAAAGCATTTTAGGAGTAAAACATAACGGCTACAATCTTTTTGATTTCAGCTCTAAGCTTAGTAAAATATTAAATTTTTTAAGTTTAAATGATATTTATTATTTTATAATTAATCAATATTCAGAAAGCTTAAATTGGAGGTTATTTAATAAAATATAATTTATAATAAACCATAAATTGTAGTATATTAAATGCATTTACATCAAAGGATCAGAGAAATATTAATTATGAATCAAATTAATTTCGAGAACATTTAAGCCGTAAACTTCATACACCAATTTATTCTAGAAGACGTGAGAATTATCCACATCAAAAATTTGCTCAGTGACACTTCTCCATATTACAAAATGAGTTTGCTTCTTCGAAAACGCCTAAGCTCCTTTAAGCCACCATTATTGAGAAAATTTCTGCAATCTATTTGCACGTGTGTGCGAAAGGCCAAAGACGGAGAAGATTGGGCCGGGGAGAGGTCGAAAATAGGGAGGCTCGATTGTGTCCCCGCCGAAAGGCAATTAGCAATTTTTCATTGCCGAAGAAGTTTGATCGAGCCGGAGGAAGAAGCAATTTGGAGGGAAAATAATAATGAAAAGGCAGAGATTACTTGGCAGAAGACGAGCAGGGCGACGAGGAGGAGCGAGGTGAATGCGGCGGCCACCCCGACGCAGCCGACGAACAACGAGTGCTTCAGGCGCACGCAGTAATTGCGGTACAGCAGCTCCAGCTCGCCTTCGCCCCTGCAAGCAAAAATCAAAACCAAAATTTTCGGTCGATCACGGCGCCCTGTTTGTTCCTGCACATTATAAATGGCCCCGATTCGGTGCAGTAAGTACAGGGTCGCGCCTTCTAATTTACAGGCAAATAAAGGCGGGGCGCACCGAACAGAGTCGCCGAGACAAAAAGGCAGTAATTTCTCTGATGAACTATGAAATAATAATACCAAAAAAAAATGCAATATCAGGGTTTGTCAGAATCAATTTATTACAATTTTATCAGGCTGACTTTTAATCGTTTTAATCAGGCAACGGATTATATATTACATTTTTGTTTTTCTTCGAGGAATATTTGAATTGAAACAATTATTCAAGTGATTTTTTTTGTTACAAGTGATTAGAAGTTAATTTAATCAGGGTTGGGCAGATTTTTTTCTTTCTTTTATCAATAAAAATTTTAATATTCCCTTTTATTTGTCCTGCCTACTTCTTTTTCTTTTTTAAAAAAATATTTAGAAAAAAAAAGAATATGATATAAATTTTATATTTATTTAAGTACAAGCAACAATCAATCACCTTTGAAGGTCCACGGATTGGGCGTCCATCGTAGAAACAGTGATTCAACTCATAGATTCACGAAAATGTAGCTGCAAAAATAAAAAAAATTATTCAAATCTGCAAAATTCGATGTAATAGAAATGATATTTTATTCCATATGTATTCAAGTAACAGAATCAATGGCATTCGCTATTCAAAAAGTTTGGTAAAGTTACAGCTGTCGGAACCAACCACTTCAGGAAAGGAAACTTCTCTTGAGTCTCCCCTTCTCAAGAAGCCTCTCCAGGGAGCAGTGGAGTTAATTCACACCTCGCACGGACAAACAAAATGTAACTAGCGGTTCACAAGTTACAAAACCACAACAAATCTTGTTTACTGTGACAATTTCATCAAGTCCGCTTATTTTCATTTTTGATCAACTTTCTCTGGTTTTGAACAACATTGTTGGACAAGTTGTGGAATAAATTATAATTAAATATAATCAGATTTTAATAATGTAGGTATGAACAAGATCCCTTTACATAAAAATTAGACATTTTAATTATTGTTGAGGAGATCTGAAAATCGAGATTAAATTCTGCAGCCTTCTAATGAAAAATCAAATTTCAGGAAAAAAAGTACAATTAAATTTCTATAGACTCATAGGTCCAAATGATTGTGAAATTTGCCGTACAGATTGGGAAACATACAACTTTCTTAGTAATTTTTATTTTTTACAAATATTTGGTTAGATTTTAATAATTTCCAGTTTTCCTTAATGGTAAATTTCGCGGGGTCCGAATTAATTAATGAAGGCATCAAACTCTTGAAATTAATGCAGGCCGAATGAATGCGAACCCCCTGTTTAATATGCCGCGTCTCATTAAAGCGAGAACAACCTTTGCCAAAGCGGTCACCGCAACTAATTGGACACAACTTTTGAAATTAATTTCGCACCTTTGATTAAAAGTCATAAATTGGTGCTGGCAATTTTGTATGGTGTGTGTCACCCCGTCGGTGGTCGGTCGGTATATTAATTAAACAGGGGCGCGCATTTCGGCGTAATTTGCAATGCATGGTTGTGCGGTGGGGCGCTTTTAACGACTTGTTGAATAAGTGATGCAGCGGCCCAGCTGGGTGACTTTCGCACACAGATTACTCCGCCGCCCCGCGAATTAATGCAAAGCTAATTCGGTCGCGGGGCCACGCGTCGCTGAACTCTTTAATTACTTTTTCTGAATGAAAGAGCGAGAGACAGTCGGGCCCTCGGTGTGTTTTGTGTGTATTGGCGCGAAGAGTGACAATGACGGCTCGAAACCAATCAATAAATAGCCGCCCGGTCGGTGCGGCTTGGGCTCTCCCCGCCTTTGCTAGATGTACACAAAGTGCTGAAATCTGCAGGCTGCTGTGCGGGACAAATCGTTTGAGTCAACACACGCCGCCGCTTTGTTTAAACTTCGACTTTGGCCCAAGGAAGTCGCGCACATGCACCACTTGCCGCCAAAAGAAAATATGCTACCCTCGCTGCTGCTTTCTTCTGTCTATTCACCGCCGCAGCCAAAAGGGCCAGAGGGAAATTGCTTGGCAGAGAGGAAAAAATTTAACTTCCGTGCTCTTGTCATTGTCATCGACGAAAAAAGAATTAAAATTTACTTATTTTTAGCATATTTTGGCGTTTACAACGTCATATTGCAATTGAGCGTGGTTATTCAATTTTAAAAAAATGTGCCAACAAAGACATTATTTTTTAATCGGATTGTGTGCAAATAAAATTTAAATTTGCAAATTTTCTATAAAATATTATATTTTAGCATTTTCGAAAAAAGTACACAAATATTCTAATTTCCCCTTATTAATTACTTTCTTTTTCAATTTTAGTAGAAAACTTTCAGCGGGTTACATTAGCAAAATAATTTTATTGTGTTTCATTTTTGTCGCTACAATAGAATAGAATAGAATAGAATAGCTTTTTTATTTCATTAAATTATCAACGCATTGAAAACTTTTGAAATATGTAAATAAACTTACACTTAAGACAATTTTCACTCAAAATTACAGATAAAGAATTCATTCAAGTCATAAAACTGATATTTGTGTACAGTTTCTCTTATTTTATAGATAAATTCAGCTTTATCTTCAATCATTTTTACATTTACTGGAAGTGCGTTAAATATTCTAGCGATCATTACTATTGGATTCTGATTGAGGATATCGAGGTGAGCGTCAATCTCGATATACAGGTCATTCACGCAGTGTCTTATTTTTTCACTTTTCGTTTTTCCAGCCTTTTAAATTGCAAAAAATTATAAAAAAAAAATATGTTATCAATAATAATTTGCCTGTATCTATTCGATTGGAGTTGAGATTCCCTCAGTTTGTGGGCTTGTTAAAAAAGTTTGTTAGTTTTCACAAGTTCTATACTGAGGAGGAATATGTAAATTACAAAAATAACTTGTAAATATGTTAAATTTTTTTTCCCTGCTGTGTGTTTCATTTGACAAAATTGTAAATGGGTGGGTCGCACGGGAGACATTACATGTGATTACATTCCATATAATACAATAAAGAACAACAATAATAATAAATGCAGTTACTAATGAATTAATTTATGAAGTTAAAAACGCGAAAAAAAAAATAAATCAAGAAGCAGTTTTGGTCAAATTCATCCTTTTCTATAGGGGTTGATTTTAATTTTTTTTTTTTTTTTATGAAAATTAAAGACATGCAGACCTCCACTAGTTTTCTTATACTGTCTGCTGACTTTGATTTTAATGTTAAAATTATGACATGACTATAAGCTTATAATAAATGAAAAATATTTCGTGGTAAAACAAGTGTTATTTGGCCATAAATTATAATTTTTGAATTTTTTTTATTAATAATATGATTTTTAATTTAACCATTATAAAATTTAACGTGATTTTAAATGCGGATTTATTTTGAACGTTGTTATTTTTCAAAGTTTTGAAGTCTAAACAAATAACCTTTTGTTCAATTTTGTCAAATACAAGCAGATTTCGGATCAAATCAGCTTAAGAATTTTTCTTATTTTTCTGTCTTTCTTTCTCCGTCAGAGTTTATTTTTTGCGGAAACGCTCTCGTCGCGGTGCTCTCATGTTTTGATGTCTATTTATAAATCCTGGCAGGATCCCGCTACATCTCTGGCGAGATGTGTATTTTGTGTGACATATAGAACTGTCACATGGCGCGCCTTCGCTTGAATATGTTTCGTAATAAGATCGGGGAGTGAAGGAACCAGCGGGGTCGTATAAAAATTTTGACGCTCTTTGCACACTGCTACCTGCTTTCCCCAGCTTTTTAATCAATTTGCTCGCAAGTAGCACTTCCACCCTCTTATCAAAATTAAATTCCGTGACTTGAGAGAAAATCGTTCAACCTGTTCTAATTCTGGTTTCATTTTTTTTTTGTTTCAGGTAAGGACAATAAAAACGCACGGATTGTTGTATGCAGGTTTTTGTGAGTAATTTTTTTAATGGATTGAGATTATTTGCACACTTATTTTAAATTTTTTTTTCAGAATGCGTTATGCATAAAATTTTTAAAACAATTTTGTCAAGAATTTGAACTATTGATATTATTTAATTTCCAACTTAATTTTCAGATACTTCTCAATTTTCCTGATCATGAATGAGTAAAATTGAAATTAAAACATTTTGAAATTAATTTAATATTATTTATAAAACGTCAACGGTTCAAAAGCTTTTGACTTTCAATAGAATTAATTACGTCTGTTTAGACTAATTGACCGCCGTTTGACTTGTGTTGTGGAAGCTACTGACGCGCACAATCGCGGGTTCATTTACAAACAAGCATTTGTCGATATAAATACGCCCTATATCAATTTCAGTAGCACCGGTCGCTGACAAACAAACTTTAGATCCGGCCAATCAAAAGAAATTTTTCGCCGAGCCGGCCTCGGTTCTTCGCAAGGGCGAGGGAGGGCAAGAGCGGGTCAAACTCACCCTGTGGCCGCGAGCATGGTGGAGCAGAAGGGCCGAGCTCGGCGGCCGCAAACAGCCTGTTGCAGAGTCTGCAAGGGGTTTGAGCCGCGGAGCTTTTTGCAAGCGCCAGACACGCCACGCGCATGCACAAGTCCCGCACACACTCCACACGCACACATACAATATCTTAGTCAATGCAGCCAGCATCCACCTCGCTCGCATATGCATGGGAATTTTGATGAGATGCGATTTTCATATTATTACGTGCGTGAGTGAATTTGCGCGCCGCCACGCCGCGCTCTTTTCATCTCTCTCGCACAAAGAGCCGCTTTTAACTTTCCGTACATTCGACGACGAAGACTTAATGAGATGAACTTCATTCGCCGCGCAAAGCTGAATGCACAGAGTGCGGTCGATTGAGGGCGACAAAATGAAATACTCTAGATTCTGCAGCTCAATTTGCAACAATTTGACCAAACGCCAATATTTTCCTTTCAGGCAAAATAGAGTAAAAATTTAAATTTGTAAGTAAAAAACTCTTAAGGCTGATTTTTTTTGTCAAATTAATGTATGGGAATCTAGAATAAACTTTTATGCGATTAAGATCGACAACAGACTTTTCAGAATCTTCATGCGAAGGGAATTTTACAATGTTATTTTATACGTTGACAATTTTCTGTTTTAAAACTTGTTGCTTAAATTAAATTGATTTCTGTTATTTGTAGTTGAATTTTGTCAAATTTAAATTGTTAGGAAGAAAAAATTTAAAGAACCAGCGATCCAATACATAAAACTGGAAAAATTAGGTTTTACTCAATTAAAAAAAAAAAAAACTGTTTAATTCTGAGCTCTAATTTTAAATGATGATTATTTGGGCGCATAATGTTAAATATATCTTTGATTCTGTGAGCATTTTGGCAAAGTAGTATTCGACGTTTTATTTGCGAGTTGATAATTAAAATAAGGTATAAATTTTATATTGAATCTCATATTTTACAGAAGAAAATCTAGCATTTTGAAAAATATCTTTTGTTATTTGGAAAGTGATATATTTGCACCATTTTTTTTTTATCTTGCACTGAGCAAGAATTTCTGTAAGACTGATGTTATGTAATAAAGTTTATATGTGTATAAAAGCCTTTTTTAATTCCGCTTTACCTTTAGCATTTTTCATTTACCTCAATCAAGAAAGAGTGTAAAAATAAGTGAGTCAGTTCATCCAATGATTGTGAGTCACGGCAACGTAAATAAAGAATCATTTATTTATAGCCTCAAGTATGATTGCTGCCTGTTATATAGCTCATGAACTTTTTCTTTGATCTCTCTTCTCTCTCTTTATGTCCTTTTTTTATCCAATCAAAATCCATAATCTGAAATGAGCTGTTAATTTATCAAAACTAGGAAATTGGCTTGACTTCAGGTAATACGGTTTAATTATTATCACTGTCAACTTTAATTAATTTGTCCAATTTCCAATTCCTTCAAGCGCCTTCAAGACTCCACCGCCGGCCTATTGTGTTGAGCGCCACCTCGTTCATGTTCGCGCTAATCGTTCCGCTCGGTTCAATTTGAATTTGGGCGGGAACGGACTCGGCGAAGAAAAATATGGCCGCCAGCGATGACAGCGATTACTCGCTGCACGAGTGCGTTTTCACGGGCAATTTGAGAAAACTGTCCAGTCTGCTGCGCAACCACGATGTCGGCGCCAGAGACAAATACGGTGAGTCGACGGACGCCTTCGTTCGGCGCCGTGGCGCCGCCCGTCCGCCTGAAAACGAGGCCAAACCTCGCACGGCGATAAGCCGCCTTGTCAGATAAACTCGCTTTTACCATTTTAAACGATTTTAAAATTTCCAACTGACGTTTCTCTCAATTTCAGGCAACACGCCGTTGCACTTGGCAGTCATGCTTGGAAGGAAAGGTGAGATTTTTCCCGTCCGAATCCTCAATCCACCGATTTGCGTTTCCACGAGGACACGCCCACTTATTATTGAGGCTCAAAAGTCAACACTGTGGAATCATTATTGACATGTTGCTAATTTGCAGAATGCATTCACCTGCTGCTGAACCACGGGGCGCCCGTCAAGGTGAAGAACAACGCCGGATGGAGTCCTCTGTCGGAAGCAATCAGCTACGGCGACAGACAAATCTGTAAATTTTCACACAATTTTAAAAAAAGTTCTGTGACTTATCGAGTTTTGAAATTTTTGCAGTGTCTTCCTTGTTACGAAAGTTGAAACAGCAGTCTCGAGAGCAGGTGGAGGAACGGAGGCCAAATTTGGTCGCCGCCTTGCACAGCATAGATGACTTTTATATGGAGCTCAAATGGGACTTCCAAAGTTGGGGTACGAATTTTTAGTTTTTATTGAATATAACTTATTTCTCACTCATCCTTTCTTTTCCCCCTGTTATATATCTTTAAAAAGTTTATTTTTTTTTTAAAGTAAATTATTTAAATTTAATTATAATTTCTGAATTTGAAACTAAATTCCACAGTTCCTCTTGTGTCTCGAATACTGCCATCGGACATTTGTCGGATCCACAAAAGGGGCTCATCGATGAGGCTGGACACAACTTTGGTCGACTTCAATGACATGAAATGGGAACGGGGTGACATAAGTTTTATTTTCAATGGGGACCGGAAGCCATCTCAATCGCTCACAGTTCTTGATAACAAGGACAAACTCTTCCAGAGAGTCAGATACGAGGTATTTGGCTTCTTTTTTGTTAAACACAATTCGACTTATAAGAAATTAAAATTGTTTAGGAGACTGAGCAGGAAATAGAGGACGAAGTGGACTTGTTAATGAGCAGCGACATAATTGCGGTACAAATGTCAACAAAGTCTATCACTTTCTCTCGAGCAACGACCGGCTGGTTTTTCAAAGAGGACCGAAAAGAGCTGGTCGGTTCTTTCAACGCAGAGTTTTATAATGTTAATGGAATGGTGCTTGAGTCCCGAAAACGCAGAGAGCACCTCACTGAAGAGGATTTGCGGAAGAACAAGGCCATTGTCGAAAGTTTTACCAAGGGAGGAACATCCCAGGTGGACATCAACGGAGAGGTGAATTTTATTTTTCCCTCTTGGATTTCAATTTATGTATTTATTTTGAAACTGCAGCTTTGTTATCAACTAAATTTAATTAATTATTAAACACATGTTTGTGCAACATACAAAAATGGTAATAAAATTACAATAGTATAGAATAATTTACTTTATATATATATATAAAAAAAAACAAAAAAACTATTGTTTAAATTGTATAACCATTTTTGTATGTTGTACTCGTATGAGTTTAATAAATATGTGATTGATTAATTTAATAAGTACTTAATGATAAGAATCTTTGTTTCAATTTAATGAATGACGTTTTTATCATTATTTTGATCTGCAGACAATACGTCGGCCATCTTTACCACCACCTTCCCCATGTTCTCTCACATGGGAGGAGTACCTGTCTGATCCTGGAACGACTCCTCCGGTTCTTGGCAGGGAAATGGTGTACAAACAGACTTGCAAAGCCTTCAGAGCCACTGTTGCCATGGTAATTAATTCTAGACATTGTCTTTATGCCAAGATTAATTTTTTGTCTTTCAGAGCTCTGAATTTCCACTCTCGGTCAGCATGCTGTTGAATGTTTTGGAAATAGTGGCTCCTTTCAAGCACTTTACAAAGCTTAGGGAATTTGTAAATATGAAGCTCCCTACTGGTTTTCCAGTTAAAATTGGTGAGTGAAATTAAAGAAAGTAAATAAAATTGCTTTTCTTTATTGAAATTTTCCATAGATATTCCAATTTTGCCGACGGTGACAGCCAAAATTACCTTCCAGCAGTTTACATTCAAAAGTGACATTCCTCCAGAATTATTTGAGGTTCCGCCCAACTATCACGAAGATCCAACACGCTTCCCGGACTTGTGATTTCTTCGACTGGGACTGCAAGAGGTGGCATTTAATTTCTCTCATGATCTTTCCCTGTTTGAAGTTAGATGTCTTTGTAAACCAAGAGGACACAATTTTTCGCTCACACAACAGGGACAACCAATTTTATTTGCGCTCCTTGGAAATCGCAATAAATCTGAACAGCTCGAAAGCTGCAGGACGAGGATTAGTAATGACAAATCAAAATTTACTTTGTAAAAGTTACTGCTTCCAAGGATTTAGCTAAATTGCTCAGAGAATTTTTGGAAACAATTCAAAATTACTAAGCTTATTGTGTTAAACAACAAATGGGTAATTAATTGTTAGTAATTTATTAATTGTCATAATACAATGTGAAAAATTGTTGTGTTATTATATTATAATCATGTGTTTTGTCTAGTCAGCAAGCAGTGCTTCAATAATTGTAGCCTTGTTAAAGAAGCAACCATTTCTTTCGACCTGGCTAAATCTTTTAGTGTTACATGTTAGGGACCATAACATCAAATAATTGAAATTAAATCCAACAATTTTAAAGAACTAGTCCACTTAAGGAAGCCAAAGCGCTCGAACCAGAATTTTGGTTGCACTTAATGTTAATTGTAAGTGTTATAAGAAGCAAATCTTGCCTTTGACATCCGATGTTAGCCTTGGTGATCAATCTGCCTTCAATTGGGTTAAAATAAAATCACATATTTAAAAAATCAATAAATTTTCTGAACCCACAGGTTTCGAACAAGTAAGATGGGAGAGAGGTCCGCTTCACTTAATAATTATGCATTAAAACAGGTCAGATGTCCAATTTTCACAAACAGTTTTTGACTGGTGAAACACAAACAAAAACTAGTGTGTTAAATATATTAATAAACTGTATATTCAGGCAAATAGATGCTCAGCAAACACTTGCAACAAAAGAGTTTGTTTGAATTTCAAAAGTTCCTGTTGGGGGTGAGACGTGGGTCGAGGGTGCCTACCCATTGATAAGTACTTGAGCAGCAGGAGGTTGCCGGAGATCAACTCCTGCGGCACTAGTACTTAGGAACGGGATGTAGGCAGTTTTCAAATTTGATGATCTTTCACTGCATATGTCCTCCACCTGCAAATATAATATTTTAGAAATTTATGTTTTGCATTTCTAGTTTAATCTTGATTTTTTTTTAATCATTTTTGATGTTAAATTGTTTTTTCGCCCCCAAGAACACCCAATTTTAGTAAATTGTTAGTCATTGTCTGTTTCAAATACAAATTCTTTTTATATTGCTAGAAAATTGCAGTATTTTGGTAAATAAACTTTTGAAAGTTTAATTTAAATCTGATAATTTTGTACAATTTGGCATTGAAGGATGCAACCATCCCTTTTCGGTATTCTTTGAAAAAAACTTGTTAAATTTATAAATTATAAAGTAATAATAAAATTTTAATTTTTAGCTACTTGTGAATTCGCGGTTTTCGGCTGAATGTAGCAATTCTTTCAGAGGGGTTTACATGTATTAAATAAAAATTATTCAATAATTTTTTTCTACTAAAAAATACTAAAAATATAAATTATTCTCCATTTAATAAAAGAAAAAACCAAATAAGAGTATATTTAAAATGCAGGTTATTTAAATTTGCACTATTTTTTTTTACACAAGTGTTAGTTGCAATTTTTCTGCTGTAAATTATTATCAATGAATTTAAACATGTTTTAGAATAGAAATTGCCGTTTGAGACATGTCTGTCTGTGGCACAGAAGCGTATGCAGATTGCCGAGAGGCCGCTCTGCATGCCTGCTCGCTTCCGGATAGACCTTAACAAGACCCAATGAATTCGCCCTTGACGGATGATGATTTTTAAGTAGTGTAATAAAAAATGATCATGCGCCCGCGCAACTCTCGGCTAAAGGGGACAGATTCCGAATTCCAATCTCTCTCTAGTGGTCCAACCAACCGTCATTTCCCACCACCCTCTGCAACTTTATTTCAAATCAATCCCTTTTGAAATTGAAATTGTATTGTTTCAACAAACGGCTGATTGTCCTTTGACATGAATTAAATTTGAAAATTTCAAACTCTCATATTGAACTTGTAGATAGCGCTATCAAAAAGTCGCTGGCATGACATGGAGTTTATCTGTGTGGATTAAAAATTACCCGCTTCTGAAACTGACAAATCACATTTTCATTTAAAAATTTAACATTTCGTAAATATTAAAAAAACTTCTTGGTTTTCTGACCAAGTCCAAGTGACGCTTGACCCCAAAGTTAACACTAATTGAACTCCGATCTCCAGCGTCATAATTAGAACTGAAACAGCTATAAACGATTTCAAAATAATTTTTTTATAAATTGTTATATATTATATTTATTAAAAAAATTCCAGTTGGAAACACCGAGAAGAATAAATAATTAATAAATTATAAAAAAAATTAAATAATTATATTGTAAAGAATTCCTTAAATCCTGGTAGATGGTCAAAAAGCACTTTTAGCACTTTGGCGAAATGCTGTGACCCAATTTTCGTTCAGACCAACTCACCAAACCGAGGCCTCTGTGTGTTGTTGGAGCGAGACGGATGCGTGTGTGCGACTGTTGCTTCTTCGGTCCAGATGCAACTGCGGCAGAGAGTGGAGCTGGCGCACCAAGATAAACCCTTGTTCGAATCTATCCCCACCAGAATAAGGCCCAAATGAGAGTATAGAAAAAATCAACCATATGACTGACTATCCACGGAGGAGATGATGGCCGCAGCAGATTCGAAGCGCGCTCAATTAGATCACAATTGCCATTATGTACTTCAGAGAAATGGTTTTGTCTGACTAAGAGGGCGGGCGGGCGGCCCTCATGAGTGTCCCCTACCCGCCGCCGCCGCCACCACGCCGGGAAAAGTAAAAAGGGCCGTTTCCAACAACTTCTTTTTTCTCATTACCGTGCCCCTATCGCTTTCCACCCTTTGGTCAATTTTTCGTAACAACAAAATAGTTTAATTTTTTTGAAGATTTCTTTATAATTTTTATTCTGGTAAAATTTTTGAAGTAAATAGCGAAATTCAAATATTGCATAATTTTGGATTGAAATCAAAAGTTACTGTTTTCTTTCTGATAATATTTTCATTGCCACCTTGCAAGAATCTAAAGCGGTCCTTTGAAGAATCAGAAATCACATCGGTACAAAAAAATTATTGTTATAGAAACAATTGAGAGATGGAAAATGAATTATTGTTAATTTATTTGTGCAAATCTTAAAAAAAATATACCCATAAATTCAAATTCCAAGTTTTTACATTTATTTTCATTTCAAATTGTTAATATACATTTCATAATAGTATTATTAAATTTCCGTTACTATTATTATAATTTTTTTTTCTTTTTGAAATGCAAATTTTTGGAATGTTCATACAAACAATAATTTTATATTATATAAATTATGTAATATTTTTTTTCTGCGAGATGCCCCTATGTTATGCGGTCGCACGTGACGCCGCTCTGTGTTCGGATGCAATGAGAGAGTCAAAGAAATAGTGGCCGCCCGCCACACCCCGCCCGCCCGCATACATGCATTCACTGGCATCCATCTCATTGCACGCAGCACACAATAAAATATGTACAAATGTGAGAAAGAAGATTCACAAAAGGAAAAAATAGTAATTAATCAATTGAATGGACAGGGGCGATTTTCTCAATTCCAATTTAAGACCCGGCGACCGACAAAACGACCGAGCCCTCGCATTAAAATGATATTGTCCGCCAGAGAAGAAGCACCTAATTTTGCAATCAGACCACTTGACCGAGCTCGGCAATACAAAAGTAAATGTTCAGCAGCCACTGCGGATAGATTTTGGCTTTGCAGTGAACCGCGTCAAAGGAGAAAAATAAACACAATTTTACAATAAAAAAAATCAGAACTTGAATGAAAATCTCTATTATAATGTTAATTTACTGCAAATTTTTTTATCAAATTATTTGGCCAATTTTGGGGGAAAACTCAATATTTTATACACAGCACAAGTACAATTAATTAATTATCAATGAGATCTAAATCAATTCTTTCAAGTTATAAAAAAAGAAAAAAAATCCACTTCTCAAAATTGGCTTCAGTCAAAATAAAATGACAATAATTAAAAATTACATCCAAAATTGTTAATTGTTATGTAAATGGAAAATAAATTTAAAAAATTACCGCCCTTGACATGATAGATAAATAAATTATGTAGAAATTAAAATTAAATTCTGTATCTATAAAAATTTTCAAATGTATTGTTAAAAAAAGTTTGCCTAACAGACTAATTTTTCAAGAAGACCAAGTACAAGAAAAGTGATCAGCTCTTAATTCTTCCATAATATAGATCAACCAAAATAAAATTATCAAGGTTTTTGCTAACCCCATTTGGAGTGAAATTTTAAACAAGTTTTTGAAATTGATAATGGGTAGGCATTTTATAATGAAATTACAAAATTGGCTATATTAAAAATCGACTAATTTTTATTTTAAGAAACTGGTGCTGAATAAAATAATGTGTAATATTTTTAGTGAATCGAAATTTTTTTTAAATTTTGAAATTTTAAATTTAATAAATCCAGACCAATCAAGAATAAACTCGAATAAAAATAATTACATTTAATGGATAAAAATTGCACTAAAACACCATGAAAAATTAGCGAAATAATTAATCAGAAATAGAAGAGCGGAATGAGTTATGTTGATTATTCAAATGACACGAGAGAGTTCGTTAAGCCTCACATGGCGGGTATTATCTGCTCCGTATATCAGAGAGGCAGAGGGCAAAAAGTCTAGCATGTTGGTGCCAGCGATGGAATGGGGCGACGTTGCAAAAGAAGCGCAGATGGAATTTTCGGAGGAGTGTTAAGTAACCACAAGTGACAAGCAGTCCACCGACGGTAAATGTAAAAAATCTTTACCATCGGCGCTACTACTTAAGACATGCGGCACTTCTCTTCTTTCTTCGAAATCGCAGGAATATTTTACATTATTTTCGGCGCAAAAACAATAGAGAGGTCGCACAGGAGTTTCAAGACGTGAACGCTCAAATGAGCATAGAGTCAAAAGCACATGCCCATTGAAACGGTCACAAACCGAAACAACTGTTTTGAAAATTTGCACCAAAAATTTACAGTGATGAATTAATTAATTTAACATTCAATTACTGCATAATTTAGAAATAAATAGCCAGTGAATAAAATTACACATGAATTTTGATTGAAAACTAAGTGAATAGAAATTGTTGTACATTTCGATCATTTAAATTAAAAAGTTTTTAATAAAATCACTTCTAAAACAACTAAATTTTCGAAATTGGCGTAAAATTTGAACACAGTGGAAAATTGTTGCTACCAAACTTACATAAATAATAGAAGAAACTGCGCAGCAATTGCGCGTGTCGAGTGTCCAGTGTGCAGTACGGTGAACTGTTGACGACGCGGCGAGTGTGGTTGTGGCACTGATTGAGAGAATGAAAAGGCACAAGCGAAGACAATAGGGTGACTGACGCTTGCAGTGGCCGAGGCGCTATTTAAACGCTTCCTGGCCCGCGCGACCTGGGCCACCCTGGCGCCTCCCCTCTCCACCAGTTACTCAACGGCCAAACTGTTGGGCAGGTCAGCGACCAACGCACCGTCCAAAATCCAAGCTTTTTATTGTTTGCCTCCGACTCATGTTTGGCTCTCGAAATTAAATCATTATTTTCCTTCGAGTGGGAAAATTAAATATTGTTATTGTGATACATCTTTCTAAATGCATACTCGAGCGAGCGACCCACATCGTGTATTATAATTTGACCACGAGGGGTGAAAGTTCAGAGTCCGGCAGCTAGTGCTGGGCACAAATAATAATACTTGTGTGGCAAAGGAATAAAATATACAAACACGCTGGATTTACAAAAACAAACACACAATAATTGTGTTGGCGTTTTGCTGATGCACCACAGTTTTTGAATGTAGATCCAAAATTACCCAGTAATCTCGTTTTTGTCTTCTAAATTAAAGGAATTAAAACTAAACATTATTACTGTTTTTGTTAATTAACCAGAGTAGTTTCAACAATTTCTCTTATTGAATAAAATATTTTTGTTATATCTTAATAATTTTAGCATTAAAAAATTAATTTTAATTATAAATTTTATAATAAATTTCAATTTAATCTCTCAATCAGGCAGAATTTTTTAAACTATTTTTATTTATTATTCATTATTGTTGATTATTTTTCCAATTGTTACACCACATTGTTATTGCATTCAATTTTTGAAAACAATTAATAGACTATGAGATCGATAAAATTTCATTTTTTTTTGTAAGGGCAATTTTTCATCCTGCATTCAAAACTTTTTCGAAAAAGTATTTCGAAAAATTATTCTCTCAAATCTTCTGGAAATTATTTTAACTGCCTGTTTTATCTAAAAATTATCATTTTTGCTTGATTTGTAATTGACAATAATTTGTGTGTATTTCTGCTTTCAGGTAAGAACCAGAAAAGCTGCGACTGTATTCTGTAATCTCAAGGTAGGGTGATTATATTTTGCTAGCTCGTCTATCTATGTAACTCAATCACCGCAAAACAAATCGTCATAAAAATATTTAGTTTATTCAAAAGCCTTAACCAAGAAAATATCAATTTATCGACGAATTTCGTTGGAGACTCATTTTAATGCGGCATCTCTGAAGAATTTTAATTCAACTAATCGTTACAACGGCAAGTGACTTTATACACGATTTAATATCTTCTGAACTTGAAATGAGCACAAAAACCTCATAATTGCCTAAGTGAATATTCTCTATTTATTCTCTACTCGACTAATCAAACAGTTCCGAATCAGAGATTTATTTAAGCAGGAAAGTTTTTTTAAATTTTGAGAGCAATATTTTTTTACATGTATGATCTTCTACCGTTAAATCTTATCATTTCTCAATCTCCGCCTTTATTGAATTTGAGACGTGTTGAGACTCGTTTTTGGTTCGGCGTCTCTGCAGACATTCGAATTGTAATGAATCGATTCGGCGGCAACCGCAACGCTTTGCCAGGACGGCTATTAAGTCTGTTGATGGAATGAGTCGCGCGAGTGACGCGGCGGCGACGCTGACGATCAACACATAATCACTTTTGTTGAAACTAATAAGAAATGACGAACCATCGCCTCTAGACATTTAATACGCGCGTATATAATAATTATACATAGTTTCGAGGCACCCCAACGCCAACTGTTCAAAAATTACAATGCAGAATAATAATGAGGAGGAAAAATACACATAAGAAAATTATTAAAATAACTCATAATAATTGATCATTACCATTTTCGAAGTTATGAAGGGTGAATTTATTCATAAATAAATATATCCGTGAACATTCCTCTTAAAATAGAAGGCGAGGATAAAAATTTCGTTTTAATGGAACAAACATTAGGCATATTTTGCAAAATTTACCTGATTATGAATGAAGTATTAGTTTTGATCAAATCAAACTTGTTTTGATTTTATTTGGGTCAGAGTTAATTTTAACGATTATGGAGAAATTAAATTAATATTTTGAAAATTCCACGGAAAATCAAGTGGAAATGGTCTTTTCTGCTACGCGCGGTGTTGATTTTATTTGTTCAGTCTTGGTGGACACATCATTAAATTAATAAATGAGAGATTTGTGACTTCCTCTTTAGCCGTTGGATGCACGGCTCTCTGCTCGTACAGACTATTTGGTACAGAGCGTGCACGGTCTTCTTTCTCTCAATGAAATAGTCGGCGATCGAGTTGGCTGCCAGCTGCGCCCGCCGAGAGAATCGTCGTTTTTAATTCAATCAAAGCGCTCCCCTCGCTCTAACAGACATTTTTATAAACTCTGTTTACCCTGCGGATGAAGTTTCAGAGAAGAAGGTAGTAGCAAAACATGCGTTGGTGAAAAATCACTTTGTTGAACGAAAACTTTAAAAAAATCAAATGAAATAAATGACGAAAATCGCTTATGTAAATGAGAAGACAATATTCCAAAAAAGCTTCAGCTTCATTTTCTATTACCAGGATTACAAAATTGTTTATAATGTTTATAATCATGAAAAAGTATTTTAAATTAGAAATTGAATAATTTTTCCCCAATTAATTTTGCAGCTAAAGCAAGAAAAATAAAATAAAAAATCTGGAATTTTCAAATTTATATGGAAACTTAAAAATACTATCTCGTCTGAACTTTTGAGAAGGAATTAATCAAACAAATTTTATAGACGGCCGTTGAGGGTTATCTGTGGCAGCGGCGACGGTATATTAAATTTGAGGAAATTCTGCTGCCGCCGCTCAGCCGGCGAGTAAAATTAGTGTGAACACTTTTATTTCACACGTCGCGTCGGAAGTAGCGCGTCGCGGCGCCTCTCTAATTAACCAACGTGGTTTTGATTGAATTTATTTCATTCAGACGATTTTATTGTACAATAATCAATCGCAGTTAAAAGTGTCTGGGTCGACAGGAGGGTTTTCTCTGGGGCGCAATTTGAGGAGGAAACCGCCGAACGGCGAGTTGTCCATTTTCTTTGGGTCAAACCTAATAGGGTACTGATCGGACGAGTTGAGTTCGATGGTGCAAAAGGCCACCGTGTAGGCTATGGCGATTTTCACCTCCAGAAGGCCAAATCGGTTAGCTAGAATTTTGGAGAATAAATAAATAAAATAAAATAAAATAAAAATAAAAATTATTAAAAATAAGCATGCAAAATTAATTTTAATTTAAAAAAATTACAATAAATGGAATTTGGACAAACCTATGCAGCTTCTGGGGCCAGAGCCGAATGGCAAATAGGTGAAGGGCGGAATTTTGCTCTTGTTCTCTTCACTGAACCTTTCGGGTCGGAAGTCCTCCGGGTCGTCAAAGTACTGCGGGTCCACTTGTAAGGAGTAAAAGGGAATGCCGACAATGTCGCCTTTCTTGAACTTCAAATTAAATTCAGGCAGATCCAAATCTTTGGTGCAAACGCGGTCACCAAATGCTCCAATCGGAACCAGGCGCTGCACCTCTAATTAAAAACAACCGATTATTTATTAAAAAATTAAGTGTTGAGTTTTTTTTTACTTGTAATTTCATCATTTTTTTTTTTTTTTAATTTTAAGCCGAGTATATTATTTGATTTCAACCTGAAATGACCATGTCCATGTACTTGAGCCCCTGAATGGTCTCGTAGGTCAGTTTGCCGTCCGGGTGTTGGGCGAAGGCGTCGTCCACCTCGGCCCGCAGCTTTTCCTGCACCTCTTGCATTGCGCCGAGGACGATGCTCGAGATGGCCATCAATGTCGAGGTGGTTTCAAATCCACCCAGGAAAAAAGTGAACGCTTGCGCCGAAATGTCCAAATCGGTTAGAACTAGAAAAAAATGAAAAATTTAATTTAAAAAGAAAAATGATTTTTTTTTTGCCAATTTGTTTGAATTTTTGAAATTTATATGTAAAAAAACCTGAGCCTTCTTCGATTGGCAAATTGGCCTCTTTGAGTTTCCGCAACTGAGCCTTTCGCTCGTCAATCAGAAGCTGGAGCATGTCTGGCCTGGACTTGTTGTTCTGCTCGCGGAATTTGATGTTGCCGCTGATGATTTTGTTAAAAAAGTCCTTCAGGTCGACGGGCAGGAAGGGAATGCGTAGAAACTGCATCAGTTTCGGCGCGAAAACGTAGCCCATGACGACGAGGCCCCGCTTTCCCTTGAAGTCCATCATGGTCATGCCCTTGTCGTAAAACTCCGAGTTGGACTCGTCCAGAGAATTGGACGGTGTTCCAAACGCCGTCGTTGCTATCACGTCTGCAGCAAATCTAAAATTCAGAAAATATTTATTCCATGCATTTTACAAAATAACTTTTTGATAAGTCAAATAAGTCAGTTTTATTTTATTTATTTATTTATTTATTTTTTTTTTTTTTATAAAAATGGAGAAGGAATATGTAACTATGAAGTTAAATTAATCGACATTAGATTTGCTGGCATCAGAAAAAAAGGAATGGTGTTTATTTCATTGAATATTTGCTCCTTTTCTAATCTTTAATAAATCATTTTTTTACAAAATGTTCCACAATATTTTTATTAAAAGAATTTTTTAATTCATGAGAAGAAGAAATTAAATTGACTATACCTTCTGAAAATGTTTTTTACGTCTACAGCCTCGTCTGAATTAGTTCTGCTACTGATAAATTTTGAGTACTGCATTCCAATTTGGACCATGAGGTCCATCATGCCCCTCAATTTGCTGCTGGTGAAGGCAGGACTCAAATTGTGCCGCATCTTGCGCCACTCGTCGCCCTTCAAGCTCAGCAAAGACCGTGCCAGCAGGTCGTCCACACTTTAGCACAATCCTGTTATTTGTAAAAAAAAAAACATTTTAAAGTATCTAACTTGCTCTGGGCGAACGGCTGTCGGTCAGTGAAATGGTCAAACTGCTTGACGGTCACTTCTCGCACAAGTTCAGGGACTGTGATGAGGTACTCCGGCACTGTTCCCATATAAAAACCAGCCCATTTTAGGTTTCTCGCTTTTGCATCAAAGTACAAGTCCTGAATTGGAAAAAATCATCATTTCTCCTAATCGTTGTAAATTAAAGGTATAAAAAATTGTTGCAGAAAATAATTTTAATTTTAAAGTTAATTTTTATTAATAATTTTTATTTTGAATTTAATGAATTAAGAAAACAGAAATAAGAAATTATAAACCTGCAGAGTGTCTATGAGAGATTTCCGCCTGAGAATTGTCGGTCCAAGGCTTCCGAGCAGGAAGGTATTTTTCAGGGTGGGCACCCCTTTCCTCTGCCAGTAAGTGTGACACCAACACACATAAGCGACGTAAAGGCCCAAGAGCCCCGCAATTGCACTCAAGACCTCCACCCACATCTTTGATTTATATGCAAATGACCTCTTCTGCTAACGACGTATATAATAAAAACTCGTAATCTGACCCTAGGCTTGAATGGTGAAGAGTTTGTGCTGTATCAATCGATATCTAATCACTCAGTCGATATTGCCACCACGGAGAGATAAAAAATTTCAAGCAAAGCTACGTGCATTTTACTTATTTGAAGAGAGAAGTGTGTTCTCTGTGGAGCAAAATTTAGCACTGGCGCATTAGTTTTTGTATTGTGCTGAAAGATAAACCGCAAATGGTGCTTTGAAGGTCACTCGTGGGTTGTGTCGGAGAGGGGAACATCAACAAACAGCCTCCTCCGCCGCCAAAATAAAAATATCAAACGGAATTGTAAAATTTATGTTTATTTTTCACAAATCAAGTCTTTCTATTCTGTAAATCATTTTTATTGGAAAAAAAACTATGATCAAAAAAGAGACTATTTCACGTCATACAATTTGCACTTGTCGTCGTTCTGGTGGCACCACTCGGGCTGCAGGGCGTCGGCCATCACCCCTCTGGCCACCAGGCGCTCCCTCACGTTGATCATCCGCATCTCCGCCTGGCGCCAGTTTTCCGCAGGGTCGCTCCACAGGCGCTCGGCCATGGCGGCAGCTCGCGGCCAAACTTTTCCGTCCAGGGTTTGCTCATCGACCTGAGATAAAAATCGTTATAATTTATTTCCGCATATTCAAATATGACTGCATTATTATCAAATATTTTTTGCAAATGCCAAACAGAAATAGGGAATTTAAGTAAGATTAAAATTGATTTTGGCGTTCAAAAAAATCGCTCAAAATCAAATTTTAAAGCCTCACCAATGAGGAATAATTAAATTGTGGAAAAATGAAATGGAAAATTTATAATTTTTTAACAAAGTGCCACCACAAAATATGAAATCATCTTTTTGATATCGGAATTCCTGCTTTCTGTTAAAAAAAAATTGCGAAAATGAACCATGCAGGGACTGATCAATTATGTCAATTATGTGGTGATTTTTATTAAGAATGAAAATTGCCCATCAAATGCTCACTCACCTGCTCACTCCAAAGGGCGGCTTCAGCCCCCAAAACCAAATCGCCGTATTGGCCGACGCCAAGGTCCTCCAGGATTTTGCTGGGCCTATTCTCGTAGACCTTCTGCCAGCCGATGTAGGGCGAGCACCAGTTGTTGCCCTCGCCCACCCAGGCGCCGTAGCCGCAGTCAAAGTACAGCGCGTCGTAATTAGACAGAATCACTTTGAAGCCAGACCGTACCAGTTCGGCGATCACTTCGTCCTTTCCGGTTGTCCAAATCTGTTTCAAATCGACGAGAGATTTAGAATAAAGTGACGATTTTAAGAAAAGTTTTGATCTTTTAAAAATTAAATTTTTTTAAAAGGACAATGAAATAAGGAGTGATGAATAAATGGTAAAAATTTTTCCATTGTAGGTTCTCATCTTTTTTTTATAATCGCTTCAATTTTTAAAAATTGAAGTTTTTTTTTTAAATTCTATTTCTGAGATTGGAAAATAATTACTTGAATGATGTAATTTCCGGAGTCGAGGTATTTGGTGACCTTTCCCTTTTCTGTCAGGTGGCTCGTCCAGAGGATTCCGGGGATGCGAGAGCCGTTGTTGGCCTTGGTGAGTTCGTCGAGGGCGCGTTGCTGGAAGTCGGACCAGAGCCGGAGGAACTCGCCCTCGGAGCGGCCGTAGCCCTGCTCGGCCATCAGGTCGGTCACGGCTTCGCTCGAGTTCCAGCAGTTCAGGTTGACCTCGTCGCCGCCAAAGTGGAACACCTCGCTGTCGAACACGCTCAGCATGTCCTTGTAGATGCCGTTCAGCACCTCGTACACCCTTTCCTTCAAAGGGTTCAGCTGGCCGCACGGAGGCTCCACGCAATACGAGGTCCACGGCTCGCGACCGACGCACACGGTCAGGTTGTCCGCGTCTCCAAATTGCCACCCTTCACCTAAATAAAATTGATAAATTATTTCTTTTTATCAAACATTATTCAATTTTAATTGGAAAAAAAAAATTATTATTTATTCTATCCAAATCATGGAAAAGAAATGTGAAAATTTCGCAGAAATCTTTTTTTTTTTTATAAAATAAAATCTTTCCTCGGTGTATTTTTTATTTGATCCGCAGACACGCCCTTTTCTCTATTTTTGAACTCTAAGCAAAACACAAAACAAATTTTATCTAATCAATTGGATTGTTTTCTAATTCCGATTTCTCTTTTTTAATCAGCAATTTTAATCTCGTATATAACAGAACCATGCGATCGCTTTCACTTACCTACGTGTGCTGGTGCGTCAAACTCAGGAATGACCTGCACACCGCGTACCCTGGCAAACTCCACCACGTCCCTAATCGCCTCAGGAGTGTAAATCTATCCAAAAATAATAAAAATTAACCGTAAAAATGTTTTAAACAGAAAATACTGAATTGGAATTGTTTTAAATTTGGAAAAGAATTTTTATAATTGTATGCTTCAATTTTTGAATAAAAATGAACCTTTTCGGGAGTGTAGGCGCCGAGTTGGTGCAGTTCGGGTTTCGAGTTGGCGACGAAGGGGAAGCTGTGCGAGTCGGTGATGTGCCAGTGGAAGGCGTTCAGCTTGACCTGGGCCATGGCGTCGATGGTCCTCTTGATGGACTCGACGGAGAAGAAGTTTCGCGCCGTGTCGAGCAGGAAGCCGCGGTGCGCGTACTTGGGCTTGTCGCTCACCTGCACGCCGGACGGAAGCACCAGGCTGCCGTCCACGTCCGACCACACCACCAACTGCAGCAAAGTCTCCACGCCGTGCCGAGCACCGAAAAAGTTGGCGGAATCCACCTCGGCCGTTATCGGATCAGTCTCAACTTGAAAAATATATATTAATTGCGTGTTTATTGACTTTTTTTATTTATAACTTTGAAAAATAATTATTCAACTATAATATTTGTTACAATTAATTGGCAATTTAAGCCATGGTTTTTAAAGTTATTTCGTGTTTTTGTTCCCTTTATGTAAATTATTTAAATATTCCTCATGGCTACAAAAAATAATTTGTTAACATTCAATTTTGAGAACATTTTAATAATTAAAAAAGCTCTACTAGTTTATTACTTAATTTTGTTTCTTTTGGCATTGAACCGCTTTTAAAAAGCGTTGACTTCAAACCGGTTTTGATTTAGGCAACAGCTTGTTAGTTTTATTTTTTGCATCGGCAAAAAATATGCAAATGAGGAGCAATGACCGGGTGGAAAAAACTTTTTACTGATGAAGTGGAAGAGATGAAAACTCGAGCCTCACCTGAGCCGGTGGAAACCTTGAGCGAGTAGCTCTCGTCCACCTGAAGGCCAGGGCGCACCACTGCGGGGTCGGTGACACTCAGCACAATCTCGAGTGATCGCTTTGCAGTCGCACGAGCCGCGTCTTTTTGCAAAAGCACGCCTGGTCTGAAATTCGCAAAGTCATGCAAACTGCTTAAAGGAAAAAACAAAAAAACTTTCGGCTTAAAAATCATTCAAAACTTTCAAGTAATCTCTTTAATTATTCTCATATCTTCATCAATTTTATTTTAATAAAACCAATATGAAATTATTGTCTTGTGTATTCGAATATGGAATGAATCCAAATGCTACTTTTATATTTAAAATTAAGGAATCAAGAGAATTAAATGCACGCCAATAAATGTACTTTAAACTATGATATTTCTATGATAAAATTTTAATTAAAGATATTCTGTCCTATTCCATATTATTTTGATTATAAAATGCAACTAACACGCTGGCTGGCATTCTTTCATTCACCTTCACTCTCTGCCAACACCTCGCATGACATCATTTATACTTAAATGTTTATTTATGAATCGTACTTGTTCTGGGCTGTGACCACGGCCTTGACGTAGCTCTCTAGTCCGGTGACAAGGGACGCGAATTTGCCCGCAGCAGTCGTGGATTTCGACTTGAGGGTGATTTTCAAAGCGTCGACGAAGGCCAAGGACTGGGTGATGTTCAAAGCAGACGTCGGTCGCGGCCAGAGGGCGGCGTACGGGTCGCACAGCAATTTGCAGACGGCCAGGGACTGCGCCTTCCGCGCCTCCGGCAATTCGTTCTGCTCCGGCAACGCGCTCAGACGCTTCTTCACGCAGACATTGCCTGATCCGCACTCATAAGTCCAATGATGAACTTGTCTGGTAAAAATATTAAAAAATATACATGAAATTTAAAACGGGCTTTGTCCTCGTTAAGAATTTTTTTCATTCAGATAAAAAAAATCAGTAATAAATTTTCTACGAGGTCAAAGCCAGTTTTCTTCAATTCCATGATTGTCTCCTCGGTTGACAATTTCTCTAATTGAATTTAAAAAAAAATACATCGATATTAATTGATTTTCAGTTTTTTACATATTTAAAACAAAATTGCTGTTTATAAACTAGATGAAATTTAAAATAAATATTCTGTACAAGAATTTGATCAATGGGTGTTTGAATTTAAATTTAAATAAATGACTTTATATCATTTTAATTATTTAATTTTAATTGATAAATAAAGGCCGAAATTCTTCATCCGCGATCTTTCCATGTTGCATGGAAAAAAATTTAAGGTTAAATTAAGTTTAATTTTTAAGATTAAAGTCTAGATTCAATTTTTTAAATTCAAGTAATTCAACATAGAATATTGTGGGAATTATTATAATCATTCTAAATTTCGTGATAAAATTGCTATTCCATTAGGATGTGACTAAAGAACTCGCCTTTATTTCAATCTCCAACCATTTCCCCAATTTGATGACAAAATTTTGTAAATAAATAAATAATTTACCCTGCTACATAAGCGGCACAAAGGAGAACCGCAAGAACCGTCCGCATTGCACCTGCGAGTTCGTCCAGCTCTGAAGGTTGACTGATCGCTGAAGCCGCTTGCTTTTCTTCTTCAATCAAGATTGTACGCCCCACTCCACGCTTACTGGCTTTTCTTAATCTTTTTAAAACGAGTCTAAATCGGGATCGCTCGCAGATAAAAGCTAGTTTTCCCATAACTAAATAATGAAAAATTTAAATTAAAAGTCCAAATTTGACCAGCACACTTCATTTATCATGGACGCAGCGAGTAACTATATAAATTTCATCATAGATATCAAGGCGGAAATATGTGTTTCTTTCATTTTTTCATTAATTTTTTTTTTCAATACAGAGTATGGTGGTCTAATTTTATCACCTTGAGTCAAATTAGGTGAAAAAAACCAATAAATTTTAATTGACTCAAATATCAACTAATTTTTACAGTTTCTTACTACAATTTAGAAATTTAAAAATTTCCTGTGCGAAAATAGTCTCACTTTAATTATTTGGCCTTTGAAGATAAAAATTATTATTCATCCGTGAAAAATCTGATGCATAATTTAGTAAAAAGAAGTCTGATGAATCGAGAGTCATTTGAGGCCGGCTGAATTCCAGCATTCGTCAATGCTAATTTTTTTCTTAATTTCAAATAAATTTTCATAATAAAAAATTGACGAGCATTAATTAATATGATTCATGTTTATTTATTCTTAAATTATAATGCAAGAACAGTTTAATTAAATTTGATATGATAGAAAATTTTCTTTTTTGAATTACATGGAAGCTTGATCTTTCATGATTTTGACGCTTTCGTGATCCCAAGTGCATGCATCTTTTGGGCAGGAGGGCTGGTCACATAGACACGAGAGACAAACTCTGGTGAAGTGGGGACATTTCAATACAAACACGACTTTGGCATTTTTGCATAATTGACAAAAATCGCTGTAATTTTTCAGGACTTCGCACACTGTAAAAGAAAAATTACTAATATAAAAAGTTACTGCTTCAAATTCAGAAATACATACCTCGACACCACAACAGTACTTCTCTTACACCAGCCACCATAACATCCTTCTTCTGTTTCATGAAAACCACGTCCTTAAATTTCTTTTGGAGGTTGTACCCAATCATGTCTTTAGACAAATCTGGTCCATCCAGGGCATCGTAAAAATAGTCTGCCTGGTCGAACGACTCGTTGAAACAGGAGTCCCCCTGGGTGGCCATTAAGGCATTTTTAATCTCTCTGGTAGCTTTTTCTTTAACATTAGACCTGAAAAAAAATTAATCAAAATCCCTATAAATCAAAAAGTAATGTCGTTTTATATTATTTGCAATACAACACTTCAGACGTGATAATAATACAAAAGCGTGTGAGCCTACTTAAGCCTCTTCTGCATGGGAAAATAAGCCCTTTTTAAAAATTAAAAAAGTTTTTTTTTTTTAAAAACCTTTAGTTTGAACTAAATACTTAAACATATCTTTGTCATAACTATAAATTAAATTGTGAAGAGCTGATAATCATCTGAGCCTGAGGTGATTGAATTGCATAATAAAATTTATCAGGCCTATTTTAAATTAAAAAAAAAATAAATAAATAAAAGAAATTTCAATTTCATTTGATTTGATTTACTTGCTGCGTGTGAAATGCACAAAAAGGAATTCTGTGAAACTCTTTTAAATTTTTTGGTCCAGAAGTTTAAAAAAAATGGTTGCTTTGCTATCAAAATACTATTCATGTGTTACGTGTAACAAAAAAAAATAAACAAAACTTACTTGGCGTCGTCTGATGAATTGTTAGCTTTAGATGGTTGAGTTTGAGAACTTGCTGCAGGTTTCGGCGCCAAAGGCAGAGGGCTGCACGGCCCGGGACTGCCGCCGGTCAGAGGTCCCAGTTCAGTGTCTCTAAAAATATTTTTTTTAGAAAAAAAATAAACTTTAGCTGACTTGAGCTTATTACCCGGTTGACTGGTGCCTTTTCCGCATAAGATAGACCACCACAAACACAATGGAAATGGCCGCAAGCAGACCCAGCAAGGGGATTCCGATGTAAAACAGCTCAGCTGTTAATATTAAAATGAGTGGAACGAAATTTAATAATAAAAAAAACAATGCCTCACCTTGCGATTGACCACTGACGCTGGTCGAGTTTTTTGCGGCTTCGTTGATGTCCATTTTGTTTGACGGTTTTCGGACGAGATCGAGGCTTCGACTGCTAACAAACAAAGGCCGTCTGACTGCCACCTGATCTCGGTGCTGCGAAATGCGAGTCGTGTTCACGCGTGTCAGTGCATCGACGACAAAACGCCGTGCGCCTCACGCATTCCACAATAGATGAAATTTTTCAGATTTTATTTGATCAAAGGCATTTTTTTTTTCAAATCAAATAATTGGATCCAAAGTGTATATCATTCAGAAATTAATTTTTTTATTCATATTTTCCTATATTTCCTTGCAATTTCTTACTGACAAAAAGTTTATCGAACTATTATAGTGTTTTCAAACTTTTAGCAATTATTATTTCATGGTTAAGTTACGTACGTCGCTAATTTTCAATATTAACAAAATACTAACAGTAGCAAATCAAAATCTTGGGGAAAAACGTTTTTAACAATTTGTGAGAACATTGGGAAGAATAAACAATAATAATTAAATAATTTTATTAAATGCCCCAGCTGACACAAAATATTTTTAAAGCACGTGCAAATCAAAATGTCACACAGTATCAACTAAATCTCACTGCCTTGGCTAATGACAGATCGAGAAACCTCTTCTTGAGCTCAACTCGAAAATAAAGAAAAAGATGTGCGATTTTTTCCATCCTTCTGTTTTTTTAACACATTGTTCCAAGAAAAAGAGTTTATTGAATTTAGACAAATTGAATTAATATAAATTTGAGCAAAATTTTATAGGTAAGGAAATGAAAACAAAAATGTATTTTAAAATTATTTTACTCTGCTGCGCGTAGGCGGCACAAAGGAGAGAACCGTGCTTGCGACTTGTTTCAGCTGTGAAGGTTAACTGAAGCCACTTGCTTGAAATCTCAAACTATCTAGAATTTTTGCCAAAATGCTGCTTTCTGTCTTGAAATTATAGGCAAAGATTGGAATATAAATTTACATCTTCTATGGTAATCCTTGTTAAATTCAATAGAAAATTTCTTATTCTTAAAAATTCAACTTTCAAACATTTGACATGATATATAATTCTGAGTATGAGGTTGTCTAGGCCCAATCTTGTAGACCCCTACTGGTCAAAGTAGTCAGATGCCGTTGAAATTTAATTAAATGAACTGCATAAATGCAGACTCTGCGCATGTTCAAACTTGCGTAAAAAGCTAAAAATTAAGTCTAATCATTGGCATTTTACCTTATAACATGATTTTGCTTATTCTATTTTAAATTTAATTTTACACAGATGCCGTTGTTTGGTTTTATAATATTTATAATTAAGCAGCTACGTTTTCCCGAAAACGTCCGGCTTTCGTATAGATCAGATTTACAGAACCCACATTCGTTTCTTCAAACGAATCGTGATTTGAGATTCTTTATTTTTTATCCATGGACCTTAAAACACAGACTTACATTTCAACTTATATTTGTTTTATAGGCCCTTCAGCAAATCGCGCAGTTCAGTGGGTTTACCACGGTGGCCGTCTCTCTTTTAGTGTCGGGCGTTTTAGGACACATCTGCTAGTTTTAAACCCTTTCTTCTCTTTTTTTGCCAATTTGAAATTTTTGTATTGACCGAGAAGAATAAAAATAATAATAACGCAGCAAACAAAACGCATTTAATTTTCTTGCTCATTTGTCATGGATTAATGTACAGCGAAGAAACTATGACGTAACGCTGGCAAGCTGTTTAAGCCATTTTTCCCATTGCAAACAAGCTGAAAAAGTTTTTGATGTTGCTTTATTTATATCACTCTTAAAGGCTATAAAAATCTAGCTGAGTCATAAATAGTGTTAAAACTATAGAATTCTGAGGCTTACTTCATAAAATTCATAAAAAAAAACTGTCAAATTACGTTTCATAGCATTTGGAATTAATTTAAAAAAATTAATACTTCTGAATTCTGAAATTAACAACAACAAAAATGCGTGTGAGATTAAATGTTTTGCACTTCCATTTATTTATCTGCGGATTCAAAGGAAAATAGAGACAAATATGAATTACTTCGAATTTATACAGACTTAAAAATTAATTAAATCCGCGGCCTATATTTTATTTCTTTTGTAATAATTCTCATTTTATCGAATATCACGTCGACAACCGGTCGCTGCAGCTACCTGGTGGCATAGAAATTGTCGAATAGGCCGAGAGACTTGAATGAGTGTGTGAGAATGAATTAGTTTTACCGAGCTGACTTTTACTATTTAATGTTTTGTTGATTTGTTAATTATATGTTTTAATTACCTGTTTCTTATTTATCAATTGCTTAGACTTTTATTTATACGTTATTTATCAAATCTAACTGGTGTGAAACAAGCATATTATGCGCTCTCTTTTCAGAAATATGTTGAGCATGAAAATATGTTTCTTGCTAAAACTAAAATGTAAATATTTATTAAGGTTTAATTAAGTTAATTAAAAACAATTTTAGAGCAAATTTTCATTGTAATAAATATATATTGTATAATTGCTAAAAATATAAAGTGAACTTAAACATGATAACTTTCATGTAAAATTTTTTGTGACCTCTCTGCAAAGTAATGGAAAAGCGTGAAATTATTTTCGCCCCTAATATCATGGTCCAAAAACAGCGAGCCTTTTCACATAAAGTCCGAGTAGGGTCAAGGCAGATCATTGTGATTTAAAGCAGTAGTATGTTGCTATTTTTGCTTCTTTTTCGCCCCTGCTTCCTTTGCTTGGCGGCGCTTCTTTGCGCGCTTCAGTAGGAACTTGTGCAACGCGTTCTCCGGCATTTTCAAAATCGGCTGAAATCAAATTGAGGAAGTTGAGTGTGTAAAGTTTACTCGAAACAGAATTAGAAGCACATCCACATTTAGATTATTAAAGAACTAAAAGCGAACCTTGCTAATGCAGTCTTCAGAATAAGCCCTCTTGATTTTGGTGGGTTTGAAGGGTGGCACCAAGCTGTGGGCAGCGCCTCCCTCCCCGCCGCTCGCCTGCACCTTGGCCAGCGAGTCCTCCGAGGGCAGATCCTGCAAACGGAAGCCACTGATTAGCTTTTGATTCGGGTCTGATTTTTTCTAAAAATTTACAACAGAATTCACAAGAAATTTTAAAATTAAATTAAATTGAAATAAATAAAGAGAAGTGATTTTACCGAAAAGGCCTCTTTTCCTCCAGGGACTTCCGTGGCTTGGCTCCGTTTGCTCCAAAACTGAAATTTTATTTTTATTAAACTATTGAAAATATGAGATGAAAAAAATACTTCCGAAATACTCCGGTCAATGTCATCAAAGTCTTCGGACTCGGTCTCGGATGCGTCGCGCTCGAAGAGGTCTACGCAGGAGTGCGACCTGAGGAGGTCGTCTACTGATGATCTTTGAAGTCCCACCCGCCTGCCGTGCGCGCCAAATTCCATCCGGAGGCATTGAATTTCCTTTTTTATCCTATTCAAAGCGCTCTTTAAATCTTGATTCTCTCGCTGCAAACAAATTCAATCAATTTATTATAAAAATTAGAAAATTGAAAAAAATACCTTGAGGAGGTCAAGGGCAATTTGGCAGTGAGTGTGGTCATGTTGGACGTGTTGTGGAGTGCGGGGGGCGGACATGTCCCTGGCGGAGGCCCTGCAGGTCGCGAGGGTCGCGAGGCTGACGGAGCGCGGGATGCGCGAACCATGACCTGACGACGCGGCCGTCGAGGCGGGGCCTCCGAGGGGCTCGGCAGTGGCCGCGCAGGTCGCGAGGGTCGCGAGGCTGATGGAGCGCGGGATGCGCGAGTCATGACCTGACGACGCGGCCGTCGAGGCGGGGCCTCCGAGGGGCTCGGCGGGGGCCTTGAAGGTTGTGAGGCTGACGGAGCGCGGGATGCGCGACACTATGTCCCTGAAGGTCTGCAGGCCAAGGCGCCGCCACGTAGGAAATCTCGACCGCCTCCGCGGGGGCGGCATTCGCTCCATTTTCCTGCTGGCTTTGTTTGTTTTGATGGTCGCCTGGTTCTCACTCGCTGGCTGGGCAGCTGTATACGGCACCACGCGTGCACGCACTTTCAACTTTGCCCCACCAACGCCTGCCAGTGACGGGGTGCTCTGATTGTGTTCGATTCTCACGGCGCGTATTGTGTAGATTACTTTTGCTTTTTTTCAGCCCTCGCTCTGAGCAGGCTTAAATTTTGATCAAAAGTAATCCTTTTTTTGCAATAAAATAATTTATTATCAATGAATAAATTCGATCAACAAAAATAATATTTATGAAGCGTCACCACGATATAAATGGCTTATTGCAACGCGCCCCATTTGCGACGTAGAACTAAAAAAAATTGAAGGGAAAAAACACGAAAATTACAATCATTATTACTGCATCCCTTTTATTGTTTTATGGCGTGATAATATCTAAATATTGCATAATATAGTGCACTCAGACAAAATTTACCCCCATTTACAATATTGGGTCGAGGAAAATAGAAATATGAGAAAAAGAATAGAAAAATATTTACATTAAAACACAGACCACCTAAATACAATTTTTATTTGCTCTCGGCTCTCCAGCAAATCGTTCTCAACAAAAAGCGGAGTTATATAGGCTGGTGCTTATGGGACTGGTGAGCAAGGCAAAGCCAATCACGTTATACTTGAGTGCCACAAACATTTTTTTTCCATGTGAATTTATACAAGAATTAACAATAAGAACATGGCATTTTTTATAATTGCGAAAGAAACAATTTTTTATATTAAATTTAACAGCATTTTTGGAATACAGATTTTTAAGATTTTGTGGCAAGGAATTCCGCAGTCTGTTATAAGAATATTAAAATGTGCGATCAAAATATTTGTCAAAACTATTCGTCATAATAACGAGAGGTTCCAATCGAAACATTCTTGTTTCATACTGAATATTGAATATTGAAAACCTCCTGGCATGGTCTTTAAGGTCCTAGAATTTGGTTAAGATCGGTTGACCCTGCCAAAAGTATACACCTTAGAAATATTTTCGCCGACTATTAATAACGAGTGATTCCGAGGGTCTGGATATTTTTACTTTTTACTAAGAGGTCAAACTATTTTTTTCCCGCAGACTTAGAAATTAAATTCTTTCTGAACTATACAATTTCATTAGAATTTTATTTCACACGTGATTGAGTTAAACTTATAATTATTTTTATAAATGCTTGTACGACGTGGTTCCACTCAGCGCAATCCAATCGTTTGCTGCATACTTACAAGAGAGAAAAGAAAAGAACAATGACAATGTAAACACAAGTGACAATTGACCAATCAACTTGGCATTGTACCAAATGAAAAACTTTGCAATTGCTGATGGTTTTGTTTGTGTGAAAAATTTGACTAATAAGAGAACTATTTTAAGGAAAAAATTATTTTTTGAGGGCAAAGATTGAGCTCAAGAATCTTAAAAAAAATTCGGCGCATCCTCATGCAAATGGTAGAAAAAAAAATTATAAAAAATAAAAAAGTAAAATTAAAAAATCAAATCACGTGATATTCATTAATCTAATTATTATAATTTTTATGCTAATTCACAACCATTTTCATCTAACTTAAAGGGAAAATTTATTTCTCTGCGGAAATAATAATGATCATTTTATTTTTGCTCTCGACAGATGGCTCTTGTATTCTATTTTGTGACACGAACATCACCTCATTGCTCTCTGCATTTTCACTAAGAATTTTTCTATGTAAAAATTCCTCCTCCACTTGCCTACCATTATTCTCAACCTGGCTGCGCCGCATTCTCTTGATTTCTCAGGGAATCTTATATTCCTCCACACTCACCACTGTTTGATAATAATTTGTTTGCCAACTCTCTTGTTACTGCACTTGAATTTTTTTTTTTTTAAATTTTGTCCCTTATCGGTGCATCCTTTCTTTTACCCTTGATTTTTATTTTCTAATTCTAATCATCATTTAATTTTATTTTTTAAATAAAATAAAATTATATTGGAACATGAGAGACTTTTTAAATGGAAACTTTCTTAAAAAAACTAGCAAGAAATGAATTTTCAAAGAGCATGAAAATTGTTGAGTTCATATTTTGCGGAATTGAGCTGCGTTAAAATTTTTGATTTAAAACATAATAATTAATAACATAATGAATATTAATAATACAACTTTTAAATTGTGGTATTGGCCTAATGGCCAAGAGACTTCAATGGGCGCAATTGATGGGCGCCGACGATGCGCGGAATCTAGCAGAATTTAGCGCACTTTTTGGCACGAGGGCTGGATCCGACGGAGTCGGTCAAAATCTGAAATCTGTGCGGATTTAAATGACGAGTCGAATCCTCTATTTATAAGGAAAAATGTTTGCAATTAAAAAAAATAAATAAATAAGAAATAAATTGCATAATCGGTTAAAGAATAAGATTGATTTATTTTTATGCTCATTTTTTTAAGGTTAAATTGCGTTATGGCATAAACAGCAATCACAAAACTTTCACTCAAAGTTACCGACTGGCAAGGTCTGATTTTTTAATTTGAAACTCTTAATTTAATCAGTCAACGAACATGCTTTATTTGCGCGGCCGGCAGTTCAAAAACCAACAACTGTAACGCCTTCGACGAAAAAGCCGACGTGATTTGGGCCGCAGTCCACGATGAAGATGTTGGTGCCGGCGCCTGTATACCACGCACCCTTCTCGACGAGTCCCACACGGACCAGCAGATTGATGGCGTCCTCAACAGTCACGTCGTCCACGGAGTCCAGCTTGACGAAATTCAGGTGTTTAGCCACGACTGGAGTGACTTTGACGTCCATAGCCGGTCTCAGTCGCAGGTCCGTGATGGCCTCCATGGGTAGAGAAATGCTGGTGGCAGCCAGGTGTCGGTCTTCTCTCACCTGCATGTATCGTGTCCTGCCCTGAGCGGACAGTTTGACCACCAAGTTTCTTCGGCGTCTACCGAAAATGTGGCGAATCCTTTGGGGTGCCAGTCCCGCACGGGCTAGAAGTTAAAATCGGTGTTTTAATTAACTGTCCGTTGTCTATAATTGCAGGAATCATACTCGTAGTCCTGTTAAGGGCAACGCCAAGGCAAACCATTGGAAATCTTTTAAAATTGGCTGCGACGAGTTTTCAAATTTGGTCAACGAACTCAACAATGGATCGATGAAAACGGCCATCAGATTGTTGGATTGACTTGATTCTTGCAACAATCAGCGCGAACTTCAAATAACCGCCAGAGCTGGCTGGAAAAACTAATGATGACATTGATTGAATGCAAACACCGTCTCTTTTTTCTTAATTTTATGATTATCATCATATTAAGATTTTAGTTTTTTTTTATTTTATTTTTCTTAATATTCATAAAAGAATATTTTATGCAAAAAAACGACCTGCAAACTCCTAAGCAACTCTGGCGTTTAATTATTGTTATATTATCTTTTTACACGCGAACATTTTTATAGCAAAATATTATTTTTTTTACATGAGCTACAAAAATTTGCAAAATTGAATGCAATCAATGTAATGCAGTTGGCTCTGCATCGTTTTATTGAACACACAACATGAAACATAAAACATTCCCTTTGCCCAAACCTGAAAATAAATAATTGTTTTTTACGTCTTTCTCTTGACCTCTCACGTTTCTTAATTCTGACTGAATCAATGTGATTTCTTTTTTATCTTTATTCATGACTATACTTTTGAATATCGTGTTTTTTTCTCCCAATTTCGCGGGGACGGCTCTGCATTGCCAGACCAGTTGGTGGAAATCGAACGGCCCCGCAGCGCGCCTAGGGTGTGCGCGAATTTCGGTCAGTTAAATTGCATTACAAAAGTCGGGATGGATCGGTCAGAAGGCCGAATGGGTTATGTCGGTCTAAATTTAGAGAGGGCTTTTTGAGGATGAATCACATTCCAACAATCAAAATCCAACAATTCACTTGCGACCTCCAATTGACGAGAGGATTTTGGTCGCTCGCTCCTCGAGCGGCGCCGACTTTTGAGACTTGACGTCTGCAAGGCGACTGACACGAAAACCGCACCAGGTCAATGGCCTTTGCCCTTGGCAATTATGCTGCTGTGCGTCGTGCTGCTCTGGAAGTGAAGCTGGTTGCATAAATGCAGGCGCTCACTGGCACAAACACACTCGGCTTTCTTTCTTCTCCTTCTCTGCTTGCTGCTCTCGCAGGCACAAACGGCTTTTGAGTGAAATGATGAACAGAGAAAGGCGCAAAATAAAAGGAAGGCAGGGTGTTTTAGGGATGGATATTTTTGTGTATTTCATAATTTTAATTAAATATCCCGATATTCGTTATAAGTTGAAGGGGTACGGGCTTAAAAATTATCAAAAAATACTCATCGTACTTGAAAATTAAATTAGCCGAAAATGTTCTGCTAGATAATTTTATTTCCAAAAGGCTATTGCCCGATGACGGTCACACCATCCTCAAAGAAGCCGAAGTCACCCGGACCACAGTCGATGACAATCAGGATACCGCCGCCGATCTGATAGTGACAGCCTTTCTCGAGGACGCCCAGCCGGCACAGATTTGCCACCAGAACTTCGTGCGGCATGTCCTGAGGGGCCGCCACTTTGGCAAATCTTAGCGGGCCGATGTTTTCTGGCAGGATGGGCACGGCGTGGACGTCCGTCGCAGGTCCGCAACGGCGTCCTGGGGAAGGCCGATTACGTATCCACCCAGGCTTGAGTCCTCCCGCACCTCCATGACTCGACTGCGCCCTCCCGCTGTGACACGGATGGCCATTCGAGGTCGGCGCCGTCCAAACAGTGATCGAATGACTTGAGGCGCAAGTCCGGCGCGGGCTGTAAAAGAGAAAATCGTGTTTGTTATCAATTCGTTATTCAATTGCCAATTTAAAACTTACGCAGATTCCTAGCAACGTGAACGGCCAGCCTAACCATTTTGAGTTTAATTAAAGAATTCGAATGATTTAAAATGAATCGCTCAACAAACGGCCAGTAAAAATGTCAATCGGATTGTTGGCCTAGCAGTTGATTGAGTTGATTCTTGCAACAATCAGCACGT